CAATCAAAATTTACTTCATGCAAATTACGACTACACTTATTCTGACACAAAATTAATCAATATTTCTTTAAACTCCAGTATTGTGTACTATATTTCTGGATATTCACATTTTGATGATAGATTTTTCGGTCTTCTATCTGAATAGATGTTCTTCACCGACTGATAGCTGCTACGTTGACGTGGTGGTCGGGTTTGCATATCACAATGACCCAACGAGCTATGCTCGTGGAACACTTGTTCCCTCGAGGTCTTACCATACCATAAAGGTCTGTTGGATAGTAGGTTAGACGAAAAGCAGCTACCGTTGTAATGTAAATTACTACACTATGATGGGGTCTGAGGGAGAAGTCATACTGCTGCTAGCTGGATGAGGCGTGACAGCAGTTAGGTGTTTCTCTCAGATGACCAGCAGTGCCATCCTGATGCTGGAAGAGGGCGTTAGAAAAGGTCGGCACCAAAAATAACACACTCCACCATACCCCCCCCCCCACAGTCTGCCGGGCCGGCGGTGTTGGTACATTTGTCGCTTCTTTTCGATCATCCGGCCCCAAAACAACCATACAAAAAAAGCTGCGTGTGTGCGCGTGCCTCAAGCAGATGTTCAACGGGCTCTGCGGTCACACCATTTTCTTCCAGGCATCTTAAGAAGGAATAGCATTCCACGGTATGGGCAGCCAGGAAGTGTCGATCGCCCTCACAACTCTGTCCGCACTCAAGCTCCTTCAGAATGCTATCCACCTCCCTCATCATTACCTCCTAATCTTACTTCACGTCTCTCAGTTAACGACACTACATCATCTTCAATTTCTCCTAGCTCTGCAGCCTTCGACAGAGATAAGAATCCTCAGAACAACATCCTTGGTCTCCTTAAACTACGCACCCTCCATCAAGTTGGACAACAGGCTTCATTAGCCAAGACTCTAACAACTCAGGCCATGGATGTGTGCTGCGCTTGTGAGACTCGCATACAGGACCCAAGTGAGGTTATTCACCTGACCTCTACCGGCCAGTCTGGTGAATCCGCAAATTTCACCCTTCGAGTTCCTGGAGATTCAATGGTTAGCTCTTGCGGTTTTGCAGATTTAGGCATAGCATTTAGCACTAGGGATGAAGGCTCACTACTAGACACCTCTGAGCTGTCCAGCTGAACGGCACAGTGGGAACTAAAAGGAATAGTGAAACTAGCCGTTGTCTCTTCATTGTAATCTCTGCTTACGCACCCCCTGACTGCAGCTCGGATGAAGTGAAGGACGAGTTCTACCGGGAACTGTCTGACCTCCTCTTTAAAGACAAACGTTCGGACGTGGTGGTTGTGGCAGGTGATTTCAACTCACACGTGGGTAGACTGAGTGAGGCAGAAAGGCACTTAGGTGGCACTTTCGGAGTCCCGGCTGAACGAACAGATGACGGTGATCGCCTGCTACAACTGCGCTCAGATAACCTCTTACGTTTAACTAGCACAAATTTGGGACACAAAGAAGGATACTATCTGATGTGGCGTCCACTGAGCTCAACTTAGCGATGGACACAAATAGACCACATTGCTATCAGTTACCGCTAGAGTGGATAGGTGGAAGACTGCTGCTCATTCTGGAGTACATGTTTGGTTAGAGACCAAGTGCTGGTTCAATCACGTGTATGTCTGCAGTTCAATGGACGTAGGAAAAATTTGACGACACAACCATCATGAGTGCTACTGGACAACGAAAGCACCAAAGCCGTGTTCAGTGAGAAGTTGGCTAGGCAGTTATCAGAACAGAAAACTATCACCCATCCAGAAGAAGCTTGGTGCCATCTCCAGTCTGCTGTAAAAGCAGCACTGAAGACAGTTGCCGACTTCGAAAGACTGGCTGAAAAGAGACAGTGGATATCAGCAGCTTATTGCGAACTAATGGATGCACGTGAACCTATCCCTGCAGGCTCTGAGTACAATGAAGAGCGAGCAAAACTTCAAAGTAGATTGAGAAAAAGTCTACGCAACGATCGCGAACAGTGGTGGGCAGCGAAGGCTAAAGAGATGTAAAAGGCAGCGGCAAATGATAGCAGTAGACAGTCTATTTAGACTTGTTAAAAAGACTGGGGGGAGGGGGGAAGGTCAACAAAAGTTAGTGAGGCTATAGCGGAGAAGGACGGATTATCTGGTGTACCAGTAGTTACTAAATTTCCAGATGATATCCCGATTGTTGCAGCCTCTTCAGAAGGGCTTTAAGATTTCACTAATCAGGTGAGACAAAGAAGAGAATGGACTGCACTTCCGGCCTGAGAAATGTCTGTTATGTTATCTTTCAATACCTGGGATTCGTCTTTGATCTTTGTTGTCGCCCAGATACTAGAACCAACGGATTTTTCTTCATTGGATTCATTCTTGTGACCTATGAGTTGTTTCTCCGCGTTTCTTTCATTTATGTATGCAGCTAATTCACTGTTGAATAACCTTCTAGGTTAGGATGATCCATGGAAGTGAACCGAAAATTTGAGCATCAGCTTTGTGAAAACTAAAGTCTTTACAACCATCCTACATTTCTGCTGACACATTAAGACCCCAAATTGCTGAATGCTATAGCGACAGACTCTTCCACTTGTGAAGTCGGTACAGCTATACTAAGTATTTTGCAGATGGAAAGGATATAGCTATAGGGCATGCATTTCAAACACTGACTGCTGAGGAATGCAAATATAGTTAGATCGAAAGAGAAGCCCTGAAGAGGAAAGGAAAATCCGGACCTTCAGTCACCACCCAGTATCAATACTAGTCTGCCAAACCACGGCCATTTCTCAGATTGTCAAACTTATGATCAATATGATGCTCCCCCTCTCTAATTCAAGTAGATTTTAACTCGAACCAGAAGTCCCTGGTTAGGCAGCCAGTGTGAGTACGATCAAGCGATAGTAATGCGTCACCAATCCACATGGTAGTCGGACAAAATCCTTGATGGTTAAAGTGAAATAAAAATCTGTTCAGCAGTCAGACCTCGTAGCTCAGTTGATAGAGCATCCGGTAGGAAACCCGGTAGTCGCTGGTTCTAATCGGGTGGTGGCCCAAATTTTCATTTCATTTTCAATCACCATCCAGTATCAGTATTACAATACAAGCATAGTCGGGAATTAGATAGTCGTCAATGTCTGTGAAAATTCTTCTCAACTCAATCAAATTTCGTGTTGAAGCATAAGATATTTGGCGCAGAAATACACATTTAGTGCGACATCCATAATGTTGATTGTGCAGAATTTAACAAAACCATATAATGTCATCTTGGAAGGCTTGTCCAGGGGATAAAAGCATGGAAGGAAATTGATAAGCTTCTATTTCATCAAAGTTCTATAAAGGTTAGTAATTTGTATTAACCACTTAGACAACCAGTCAGTTATATGAGGAAACGCTTTTTAACCATTTCAAATAATTGGATCATGCTAAACCAATTGGATATGAGACAGATTTTAGGAGTGGACTAATAAGTTGTTGATCCAGACTTATTGCTTTACGCGTGGCCTGACTAGGTTAATATACCAGTCCCTAAAGTCGACACAGGTTATCATCACCATGCCAACAACAAATTCATCTCGATTAGAGCTACACCTTTTTGATGGGCGCTTGTAAATACAAAACCTAAGTCCGGAGCTTTATGTCTGGTGCTGCATAATCTATAGAGTTGCTTATACATTTAGTCATCTCACAGTTAACTTATTAGGGCAAAATGTTTCTTTAAATTAGTTAGTCTTAGTGATGGCTTGGGTTATATTATTTGAAGAACATTTCTGAACATAAAATGAATGCATCAATCAGTTAGGCTATTGTCTCTTGGTCTTTACATTACATAAACAAGTCGCATTAAATTCAAGGATTACTCGTCCGAATTAAAATCTACTTGGATAAGAGAGAGAGGGAGCGCCATTTTGTTCACCAATGTGACAATGTGATTTGGCAGACGTGTAATACGACTAAACGATAGTAACGTATCACTAATTGAAATAGCAATCGGGCAAAACTCTTAGTGATCGCAGTGAAATAAAGATCTAGTCACCAGTCGAGTCTCATAGCTCAGTTGGTATAGCGCCGCACTGGAAACTCAGTGGTCACAGGTTCGAATCCGGCCGTTGTCCAAATTTTCATTTCACCTCTAGTCATCACCCAGTATCAATACTAGTCTGTCTGTCTGTCTCAGACAGTTAAAACGACAAATGATTTATGTCTAAAGTGAATTTGACTAAATACTTGAGTACTGTAAACAATCCAACCCAAATAAGCGGTCACTTTCCACTGCAAATTGTACAAAGACATAACCAATAAGAACTCTATACACATGGTCACTGGTTGACCATTTATCCTGTTTTTTTTACAGCCCAATCAGGTATCACATGAATTATAAATTGACTCATTTTAAAGAAAACTGCATTTTCAGTCATTATTTTCATAGACATTGTGTTTCTGAAGAAATTATCAGGTCAAAGAGAACCCGTCAGAATTACAAGTATTTCCTTCAGAACTGCAAGTGTCAAAATAGTCAGCTGGTTAAATATGTGGATTTATATACAAACAAGATATAGAAAGAAAGAGAGATGCACTGAGAAATCTTGTGTATATTCATGTATTAGAGGATGAGCCACATCTATTGTGTGAGAGCTAATGATACCATTACCTGGTTGCTCAAAACTCGGCAGGTGGAACAGGATTCGAACAAGAGATCCACTATTGTTTGAAAGTTACCTCTTTCTGAACTAATGGGCCGCAGCTCCACATAAACAAACAAGAAGAGGTTTACAAATATTTTTATTCTATAGAAATAGAAACTATACATTCACACACTTTGTTACCAGAGTTAATATTCATTATATAAACAGATAGATACATCTACAAAGGATACACAGTATACTTTAATTTAAGGATAAAAAAGAAATTGATTTATATGTTAGTATACATTAATTATTATGAGTGAATGCAAAACCGACTCAATATTACACATGTATCTGAGATGTTGTTTCATACATCTCAAATTCTCTTTTCATTGAATACTTTTGCTGCCACTATCGTTGACATTTATGCTGCTGTTCTGTTGAATATAAAGATCCGTAAATGTACCAATTAGTGTCACATAATTTGGTTCAGGGATTAGTGTTAACTCTTCAGGTGATGCTAAGAGAATATCGTCTAAAAATAAACACAAGAAACCGTTAGCACAGAGAGAATGTAAACAACAAAATGTCTTCACGATATACGCGAACAACACATATACTCCACGTTAGTCAAAACATACCATAATGATTCTTTCAAACAAAAGTTTCAAACACTTCACTACTCAGAAGTTAAATAGTGATTGTGTCAAGTATTATATTGTATAAAATAATAGTGTAGTGGGCGTTGCTGATAAGAATGGATATAAGTAGTACATATTGAGAGGGCGGCAGAAATCATACGGAATTACCAGCAATGAGTAAGGATTCTGTTCAGAGGAACGCAAGAGACAACGCGGGCGTATTAAGAGCAAATCAAGAGAGAAGTGGAAGAGGAAATGAAGCATATTTTGCAAATGACGGTTTTAGTGCAAGGTGTACCATATTTAACGACTACTGTCCCACTTGTTGACGATAGACACACCTTCCTGCACACTTGTCCTTTTCTTTTTTCAATAAAAAGCTTTAAACAATAAAATACGTGGCTCTTAATTAGTCCGTTTACGGTTTCCTTGTTCAACTGAAGGACAAGATCGAAATGCCCTCAGCAGCCTTGTGCACATTTGTGCAGTAGGCGACGAGAGACAACTATTGTATGAGGGGTGGTTGCCAAAATCTCAGTAAGTGGAGCGCTGTTCGAAACTATGACCCATTTGATTGAAAATCAACTCCTTAAACCAATGAGTCACAGCTGGAAGTACTGCAACATGGTGATTACTTGACCTAAAAAAATAGGATTACTTGAGATGCATATGCCGCATGTAGATTAAACAGAGGGTTGTATGCAAATTACTTCAAACCATTTTATTCTAAACTTAAACTGTGTATATATACCACCAATTCACTGGGAGTGGTTGCAGATGACCAGTCCTGGAGCATCATCTTACATTTGACAGGTATGAAACATATACCAAACATACTCAGGTAAGTAAATACTGAAACTCGACTATTGTAATGTTTTAGATTATATCTTAACATATGGTGTCAGCCGTTAAACTTCACAGACAATTGTTTGTGTGTTGTTAAGCGAGCCACTACAACTTCTGTTAGATATAACGAGAAAAGACTACAGATAAGGGTTGGTACTGGTGATCTTTAGGAAGAAGTAACAACAGCATTCATTGGAGCCAATTGGGAAAAAATATAGAGTCTACAAAAATCATATGATTATCATTCACAAGCCAAATTATCAAAGCAAGTAAATGGAGTTTCAGACTACCTATCTTGCTTAATCTAATATATATATATATATATATATATATATATATATATATATATATATATATATATATATATATATATATATATATATATATATATGATAATGCAGAGTAGTTGCTGATAGTCTTATATAGCCATAAACTTAAAATTTATGGGTATAAAACTGGTGTACCGATACAGAAATATTGATTAGATCATTGCGACTGAATGAATCTCACCGATTTCCAGAAATTCTTTTTCCTAGGGATCATCTGACAATCTGATGAAGGAATGTAAATATTTACTGGCTGACTTTCGAGGCGACAGCTATTAGCATACACGAGGAACATCATGGGGATTGAAGTTAAACTATTAGAGCTCGGTGGAGTCATTGTATTTCATTAACCGACAAAATCCCCTTGACCTCATGTTAAACAGGTTAAAAAAGTCAATGAAAACGAAGATAAGTAAACTGTGATAACTATTAAAAACACTATAATTAGACAGAGTGACTGCTGTTTTCAAGAGCTACATTAGCTAACCAAGCATCAAGACGTATCTTCACTAGTGCCAATGTATGTGGACAGTTGTGGATTTAAATTTTAATGTGAAAATCTAAAAAACTTGGACAAAGGAAAGAATGGATTTTCTTCACCTTTTGGCACTCAGGTTAGACATATTGATACAGATACAATCTATCCACCTACAAAATACACGCGAAACATGAACGAAACTCACTCAGCCATCTTGTGCACATCCATAAAGTAGGCACTGAGTCACACCTATTTTTGGGGGGCTTACGATACTACCTGGCTGCACAAACCTCGGTAGGTGGAGTGGTGTTCGAACCCGTGATCCACTGGTTGACAGTAATCTTCCCAAACCACTGAGCCACAGCTACAAACGAAACACCTACAACAACAGGACTGGAGTTCAAGTCAGTTGAATGGTCGATAGGAATACGGTGCTATAGACGAAACCACAATATCAGAAGTAACTAATCACACACAATATCACTAAAACAAGCTACTAAGCCATATGTGAAAGAATTCTCAGTTCACCTTGTTATGAAGTTTTTGAAAATGCAACATCCACCGATTTTGCATATTACAATTATTATTACTGAATGTTGATGAATGCACAAGTTTATATGATTTTAACTATTTGAGCTTAAGTGTTATAGATGAGTAATATACTCCAGTTGCAACCGAGCTTTGTTAGTCCAAGCAAACATAAATACTAATGAAAACTGGGTAGGAATAATCACTCACACTTACTGTTGTAACTGCAACACAAATCATACTTTTCCTAAATTGCTATGTACCATTATTTTTCTTGTCAGGCAGTCATAACGGCCAAATTGAAATCAGCATGCTCAGTCATCAGCTGCTAAGATAGAAGTTTAGATTTCAACCTTGTTTCATGTTATCGTGTTAGCAGGGAAAACCTCATTGTACAATTTCGTCCTACAGCTGACTAGTCATAATAGTTATTCAACTTCTAACCTAGTGGCTTGGTATCCAGAAGAAAACTATATATAAGTGATGTGGTTTTGTCAAATAAAGTGTCTTCATTACAGCTACAGGCTGGTCTTAAAGATTGAGCTTTTCACGGCTCAGTGAAGTAAAAGGTCCTGAGGCAGAACAGTCGCTATCCGTATCCAGTCCCAGTGTTTCATTGCGTTAGTAGCGTTTCCGTATTTCGTATCATTCTGTCGGTCACTCCAGACGGGGTTTAAGCGTGACCTCAAAAAATAAATGAGGCCGGTAAAATTTCAATGTTTTTTTTTATATAGTGAACAACTAACCTGAAACAGAATAAGTAACTGGGTCAGAAAACAGACATGCTTGCGAACTGGCCACCACACGGACCATACGAATTGCTCCTATATCTCGCAAAAACTAGGGAAAAACATAGTAGAAGAATACAATGATTAAAACTGATTAATTTAAGAATACATCACAAATAAGCTATTTACAGATGGAAAATAGGAAATAAACTCATTCCGTTCTCGGTAAGCAGAATGCTCTGTGCACTATCATCGGTAAAATTAACTTATTACTAATAATTTACTATCGATGGATAAAAATGAATTCATATTGACAAGAGTATATCTCAGATTCTACTAAACAGATGCACACTGATAAGTTAAATCAATGAGTCGGCTAATATCAGCACAGGATCACCCATTACTGCGTAACGTTCCACGTTCCTACACGTAATATCAACACACGAAAGGAACCAGGTATACAGATGAAAGACAGGAAAATAAAGAAAAAAGTAATCAGAAGTGGCAAGATGTTTTCAACCAGGTTACCTTAGATAAATGAAATCGACGTTTGAGAAGTTCTTAATAGTATCTTATATGGTATCTGATCAGTTATTTCGGAATTAGCTAGTACGCACAATAAATATGCGGACTATTACAGTACACAAAAAGATACACCACTAAAACATATTATGTAAGTAATCACAGGGTATCAGGTAAGTCTCTTCTGGACGAGAATGGATCGCAAAGTTAACCTAGAATAGTTTTAGTGGGAATTACTAAAAACATGGCTTGACAACGACAAGGAGGATCACAAAATCCTTTATATTGAATTGCTTTAATACACACAGGCAGGTGGACAAACTCAATGTAGAACCTCGCACATAGGAGCATCGGCTCAAGTTGCCACACTTCACAGAAGTACACAAAGAACATGCGGATAGAAAAACAGTGATATCAAAATAGACAAGGTTATGTGGGAGAATAAACAGTCTGAGGGCAATGGTTAATGCGAAAACTCAAGCATTAGAAGACATCTAGGAGTGAACACATCTGCGCCACAGTGATCGATTTTCATCCATTTCACGAAGAATCATTCCTCAACCGTTGATTCCTTTCGTCTTGCAGACCCCAACCAAGCAGTCTACATCTCTCCACATGGCTCAGACCAGCACTAAGAGACTTCACCGACTTATGCCACGTCTTGATCTGACCACCCTGAAATCATCTGCCAACTTAATCCCTCCTCGAGCATGATACACATCCAGGTACGGAGTGACTTGGCATACGCAGTATACCTCCAAGCCATCGCAGCTGACTAAGGTTCACAACCTTATCAATCAACTTGCCTGTCTTTCTCAGTACCCTTCACCTGAGCTCGACATTGGTCATACAGTGATTGGACCAAACGCGAGCAATGATACAAAGACATCTATGATCGTTCATCGAATACACATGAACAAATAATATATTGTTCGAAACCCTCTACATTATAGCTTAAATTATAGACAGGTATAACGCGCTAGATAGGCTCAAAAACTAGTCAGATAGCAAGGCGTTCCAACAAAACGCTGAATTATTCTCTCATCCAGCTTCCTCTATTCAGTAGAACACACAAATACTACTGTGGCAAACCTCTGTAAATTGATCAGGTTATCAATAATACAGATGAAAAATGTAATACGGAGTAAACAAGGTCAGACAAAAGTTTTGGAATATATACTGTATGTCTGAAGATTCATAATATGTCAATCTTTTCATATACTTTAACTCACGATAGAAATGTTTATGCGAGATCGATGGGAAATTGGTTTACAAGTAAACCAATAACTCACCGGTAAATACGCTGGTGTTGCAAGTGATATAAATGGTGCACAAACTAAAGTCACGTTCTAAGTGTTCTAAGCAAGCAAGATTAATACTAACTAGGTAACATCGCAAACAGTTCCAACTTGAGTGTAATTCTTTTTCTTACTTGTCTATAACAAAAGATCCGGGTATAATTTTCCTATTTTGAATTTTAGGACAAATTTCCCCATACTAACTGCAAAAGAGTATCAGTTATAAGTAGACTACGTCCTGCACCCCAGTATATCATGATACGAATCTTGAAGAAAATAAGGGAGTGTTATGGCAAACGAATGGATGTATGAAGCTAGAAACTACAAAGACATTCTCCTTTTGATCCAAATATATCCAGTACTAACAGAATTCCCTGGTTAACAATGACTTTTTATGAAAGTCTCTTCCAATGTGAAGCGGATATTTAGTACGTGCATCACTCCATTGAAAATTTTAAACTCGTAGAATATGCTGGATTTCATAGACTGTCTACGCTCAGTTGTGTCCGTCAACTCAATGTCTATTTATGCACGTATGTATTTATTGGGATTTTCTTCTCTTGATTTGACTTTACAAGGATTTATCTTTTCATAGCAGACTCCTTAGTCAACTTAGAGTACTCTGACCACATAGTACTGTAAGACAAAGATGTTGATAAAATCCTGTCTCTCAGACACTTTGAGTGATAATTTGAAAGTATCTAAGATGCGTTTCTCACCTATCGTATACAAATTGTTGCTTTAGAACTTATCCGGATTAATGTTTCGTCCGACAGACACATGAATCAACACAGAACCCCAGGAAAAAGCGGATTACTCTAAGCTGTCACACTCTGCAGGAGTATACAAATAGGCAGTAGATAAAAAAAATGTAATGAAGTAGGCAGTGGATTTTGATGTCGCCAACTGGAGTCTTGTCAAGTACCGATTGGAGTCTGTAAAATTCCTCCTCCTTCTCTTCATCTGCATTATTTTTTGGCGCGTAGCATTGAATGATTGTGACTTTCCTTCCTTTTGATTTGAATCTTGCTGTCATGATCCTGATCGTGGAGGAGATTGATTCCCACTGCATGAGAGCTGTCGATACTCTTGCAGACATCATGATAGCCATTCCAAAACTCAGTGTGCTCTTGGTTGTCGTCTGGGTGACAATATCGGAGTAGATTATTGGTTCTCCAGTTAAGCGTTTGGAGAATCCACTTGCATTCTATCTGCTTTCGCCGATTCCTAGCACTTCTATGTCACATCTTCCCATTTCTTTTAGAATCTAGGCAGCATGGCCGGCTAGCTTCAAATATTGAGCGGACATTCCATGTCCCTATGTCTACTTCCGCCTTCATCGAGACAAGACACATCGGCAAATTGGCTCCCCGAAAGCTTTCACCAACCGGGGCCATTTCATCTCTTCGATTCCAGCGAGGAATGAGTTTATTTTTATTTTTTATATTTTATTCGCGCTTCGAAGTTTCTTTAGCGAATGGATTGGTTTTCCAAGGTCGGGTGGCCGGCCACATGCCCGACCTTCCCTCTTTATCCGGGCTTGGGACCGACTAGTAACTAGTGAACTAGTTAACCAGGCGAGGTTCTCAAGAAAGTGGAGACGTAGCCTACTTGACACAAGGTCAAGAAGGCGAGTAGATGTAGGTTCACACCACTCACTTTCTAGTGCAAGGAACCTACCTTCAAAATCAAGTTGAAAGCCTTCAAAGAAGTTGGTGAGAGATCACAGTTCAAGTTCAACACCCAGAACAGAAACTGAAGGACGAAACTACAATAAAGGACATCTTCACGTCAGCCATCAGAACAAAATGGGAGATATCAAGCAACATCCCTGAAGGATCGGACGTTGACAAACACTGGAACTCTTTGAAGGCTATATGGAAATAAACCTGCATAACCGTACCAGGAAGGAAGAGGAAATGAGACAAGGAACAGATCTCGACGGACACATGGAAGCTGATACACAAGAGGAAGATGGTGAAGCAGAGGATGAACCAGTGCAAAGATGCACAACGGAAAGAAGAACTGAGCACAACGTACACAACACTGGACAAAGAAGTGAAAAAGAGTGCGCACAAAGACAAAAGATACTTCTACTATACACTGGCAAGCGAAGCAGAACTGGCTGCTGGTAGGAGAGACCTGACAACATTGTATCAAATAACCAGGTTACTATCTGGGAGGGAAGAGATCAACGCAGACGAAGCAAATGAAAAATAGTGAAGGAAAGCTAGTTACAAAAGAGGAGAGACAAAGGAAACGATGGGCTGGCCACTTCGAAAAACTATTGAATCGACCACCACCTGCAACTCGTCCAGAAATACCACCAGCAACAGCAGAACTACCAGTGAACACAGGCCATCCGACAAAAGCAGAAGTCCTGAATGCCATAAAACTGTTGAGATCCGGGAAAGCAGGAGGACCAGATGGAATTCCTCCAGAAGCACTGGAAACAGAAGCAGAGACAACAACGGATATGCCCAAACCACTACTGCAGAAGGTTTGAAAGGAAGTAAAGGTACCTGCAGATTGGAAGAAGGGCTACCTTATCAAACTCCCAAAGAAGGGAGACCTAAGCCTTTGTAAGAATTGGTGAAGAATCATGCTGCTGTCCACCTCAAGCAAAAATATTAAGCCGCATCATCCTGGAGACACTAAAGGATGCGCTGGCTTCAAAACTATGACCGGAACAGGCTGGCTGGCTTCAGGAAGAACAAATCATGTGCGGATCGAATTGCAACGCTACGCTACACACCGTCATAGAACAGACCATAGAATGGCAACTCTTTACCTCAACTACATGGATTTTGAAAAGGCCTTCGACGGCGTCGACCGAGAAGTAATTTGGCAGTCGCTTCAACACTATGGTTTCAGTGCCACAAATCTTTATCAACCTCATTTAACAGCCATATGACAACGCCACATGCCAAGTGATCCACAATGGAAAGCTCAGTGACGCCTTTGAAGTGAAGACAGGAGTAAGACAAGACTGCCTACTATTACCCATAATCTTCCTGATTGGGGTCGACTGGATCATGCAGCAAGCCATGAGGAGCGAGTAGACGGGCATACGCTGGCTGTTTGACCGATGAGAAGAGCCAAAAAGATTTGGATTTCACTTATGACAATTTATGTCGAATGTCTTGTAGCACAAACTCGAAGATCTACAGGCGAAAACTAACAAGTTGACAGAAGAGGCAGCGAAGACCGGACCTCAAGTGAATGCAGAGAAGACGGAGGTGATGAGGATACCCAAGCAACAACATCATCAAAAACAAGCACCAATCACTATTAACGGGAGGAACCTAAAGGAAGTAGTCTCTTTCACCTACCTACCTGCCTAGGCAGCATCGTTCCAACTACAGGAGGATCGGAAAGACAGCAAGACAGGCTTTCACTAGTCGGGATCTACTGCACTCAGCACAAAGAACAGGACACGGATTTTCAACACTAATGTCAAGTAAGTCAGTGCTTCTATATGGTTCAGAAACTTGGTGCGTCACAAAAAGCACTTCCAACAAACTACAGACATTCATCAACAGCTGCCGCCCACGCTCACTCGATACTGAATATCAGATGGCCAGAATAATAAGAATAAGCAACAAGGAACTCTGGGAACGAACCAACCAAGAGCCTATCACCCAAAAAATATGCAGAAGAAAGTGGAGATGGATTGGATTGGTCATACACTGAGAAGGCCGATTGGGGACATCACGCGCTAGGCCAGTTGCTCGAGTGGAATCCAAAGGGGAAACGACGAGTTGGACGTCCGAGTCAAGGGTGACATGAAGGAGATCATGTGAGGAAGAAATAAAAGCTTGTGGGCAGTCGTGGCAACAGGTTCAAAAGACTGCAGAGGACAGAGTGCAATGGAGGTGTGGTACTGAAGCCCTATGTTCCACTAGGAACCCAAGAGAAAAATAATAGGTAGTGGATAGATAAGATGGGACTTAAGTGAAAAATGCAGGTAAGTAAAATGTTTAGTTTCGAAGATGATTAACCACATATTTAGCTATCCGATTATCTATCAAAGGACGAATATACTACGCTCCAGTTCCTTCTGTAATGTTTTATGGCTGTGAGACACAGTTATTGAAGTAGACGGCATCAAACAATCACATGTCTTTGTATCATTGCTCGCGTTTGGTCCAATCACTGTATGACCAATGTCGAGCTCAGGTGAAGGGTACTGAGAAAGACAGGCAAGTTGATTGATAAGGTTGTGAACCTTAGTCAGCTGCGATGGCTTGGAGGTATACTGCGTATGCCAAGTCACTCCGTACCTGGATGTGTATCATGCTCGAGGAGGGATTAAGTTGGCAGATGATTTCAGGGTGGTCAGATCAAGACGTGGCATAAGTCGGTGAAGTCTCTTAGTGCTGGTCTGAGCCATGTGGAGAGATGTAGACTGCTTGGTTGGGGTCTGCAAGACGAAAGGAATCAACGGTTGAGGAATGATTCTTCGTGAAATGGATGAAAATCGATCACTGTGGCGCAGATGTGTTCACTCCTAGATGTCTTCTAATGCTTGAGTTTTCGCATTAACCATTGCCCTCAGACTGTTTATTCTCCCACATAACCTTGTCTATTTTGATATCACTGTTTTTCTATCCGCATGTTCTTTGTGTACTTCTGTGAAGTGTGGCAACTTGAGCCGATGCTCCTATGTGCGAGGTTCTACGTTGATTTCGTCAGCTGGTAAGTCATATATATATATATATATATATATATATATATATATATATATATATATATATATATATATATGTTATTTTGATTGATTTTAATTTTCATCGGCCAGAAACTACACAATTTAGCCCACTATCTATCTCAACGGTGAAATATTTACATCTTAACTTAGTCTTAACCTTGATGTCATATGTACTTAAACTCTCTTATTTTCTTACTACAGCTTTCAATATCTTTCATCATTATTTCCCATTCTTTATATACTTTTTATGTTACTACAAACCTTGATGTGCCGAAATGAAATGTGGCAGCTTCATCCATTACACAGTAATTGAAAGACAACAAGACTGAATTTTAGATGTACATATACAATGTCATCAAGTTATTCAGAATTTAGAAAAATCCACTAATTAGTAGACATAAACTTACGCATAGTAGCTGACGAATAGCCTGTTGACCAAATAAAGTTTGGTGTTGTTGAGCGAATAACTCTAGTGTAGTCCACCATGGTTAGATAAATGAGCGCACAAGCTTTGAAGCATATCACAAAATAATCTTGGCTTAGGTGATCCGATTTCGGAGAACCAAGGTTGCGGAAAAAAGTAACCTGAAGGTAAATTATCTACACTCGATGAGTTTGGGTCAGTTTGATTGTCAACTGTTTCTGTTAATGCTTGATCTAACCTACACAAATTATGTAGAACATAGAATGTAATAATAAGTTAACTAAGTAGACCTAGGAAAAAATAGTATAGCTAAAGAAGTAAGGTGTTTCAACGACAGAGAAAAATTTGCTTAAGATGCTTAATCCATCATGAGGCTATATATAGTTCAGAAGACTATCTAACCAGAGAGAGGAAATTGTTTTATCAATCAAAAAAGTTCATACAAACATATAACCACACAAAATTGAATGTGGCAATTTTTTTCGTCTCTCTTTATCATACATACTCCTGATGTTAGCTAATCACATTTCAGTTCATCTACAGCTTTTGAACTGGATATTGTTGCTTTGTTTTCACATGGAGCATAAAACATACATAACGTGTCAATTCAACCAAATGACAATGGCAAAGCTTTTAATTTCTAAAACTGTCTGTAAGCTGAAAATGTACTTATAACCAAACTACTATAGTTAGTTGCAGTTATTGAAAGGAAAGTTAGCTTTTGTAAGAAAGAAATTAGCGTGGTAAGCCGTTCCTAGCTTATCGAAAACACAGGATATCAATAAAGTTACCTCGTATTACCAAGACATGCTAACAAAAGGATCTATACATACAAGGAAAGTATTGTCTATATAACTTTTGATATGACCTTATCATGTGACACTCAAACTTGCTTCACTTCCATAGGACGAGTTAGGAAGGTCAGAAGTGCTAATCACTTCTGCACTGAAACAAGGAAAAAACAATGTACGTGAGCAAAAATGGACATAGGAAGATTAACAATGTATCTAAGTTTTAGCATAAATAAGGTACAGCATACACTGACCGGTTTTTCTGTTCACATGACTCAAACAGCATCAACCAACAAGTATTCAGCGTTAAAGATGAAAATTCCTACCAAATACAGTTATATTTTCCATCATATATCGAAAGCGGAGAGACAATTCTCCTGGGGTCGATTCCATTCGGGGTTGTGGAAGTCTATTGACCAGGAGTCCCAAAATAAGATGAAGCACTTGACCAGTGCTCCACGTATTTAAATAGTTCTCCAACTGATGTCAGTTTGCGATGAAAACTATCTAACATTAAGTATTTTTTCATATGTGATGACAGAAATACGCGTCCAGCTATAATAGCAAGTGGGTTGGGGCTAAAAGGATTGGTCAACTTGATCAACGAGAATTCTTATAGTAGAACTTGAAGATTTTTTAACAGTATCCCCAGTCAGAGACGCGTGCATTCAGTAAAAATTACTTTGAAGACACCACCAACAAATTCATACAAAGAAACGAAAACAAACAAATTCTTTTAAAAATGGAGTATCTGTGTCATATACTTACTTAGCCCTTTTCGGTTGAAGAGTAGATTCAGGATCATCAAGTTTTACCACTTCAGTCAAATTCTGTTTAACATTTGAATGAAAATTTATATTTGGTTTTAAGTGAACTAGCCACAAACGTATGTGTTTCTGATGAACGAACCGAGAAGAATTACTGCCAATATTGAATACCTAAGTCAGAAGACAGTAAACAACAGAGTACCGCAGGTAAGTATATATCATATTGGCATAAAAAAGGCAGTCAGAATATAACATAAGAGTGAAACGTTCTACAGTAGTTTGTCTTTTTGAGTCTAGCACAGGAAACTCCAGAGAATTTCGTTGAAACAACTATGCGGAAAAGAAACTGAAGTTTACAAATAGGCAGAGGTAAATGTAAGTAGTTCAGGTGTAACGATGGGCAGAAGCATTAAACAGATGATAGGACTAACTTCGTTGTGACTAGTAGTGGAACCCAGAATGCACATTTCGTCCTACTTGGGACCCTTCAGCTGATTGTAACTGCACCCCAATGAGTAATATCGTCCCCACTGAAACTCGAACCTCTTACCCATCGCTTCAAACGCCAAAGCGTCATGCACTAGGCCACTGGGGGAACGGATAGCCACCTATTGTACAACGGATATTAGTTAATATGCTTTTTTGATACGTGTAATTCTCTGTTGTTATACTGGATAGAATTGTTCGACTACTGATGGCATATGGGCTCCGATGTGGATGCCCGATAATGCATATATGCCAGTTTAAGAACGGAGAATTACGGGTATCAAAAAATAACAATAGATGGTATGACATTTAGACACCGGTGCTGAAAGAGATATAATATTATATGACAGGACAATTTTTTGTCTTAGTCAATAAAGGGTTGGTCATCGATTGTCTTTAGCCTGGTGTAAGTTAACTGATTAGTAATTCAGATCATCAAATACTGTTATACGCCAAGCTAGTAAGTTTTAAAAAATGATTTTTATACTTGAAAGAAAACTTTCGTTTTCTGATTGAACATGAGACTCAATCACCCCTAGAATAGGTTTCATTTGTATCAATAAATCCAAGGAAAATTATACATGATGTTTACGAATGTCAGCATTAATTCTATAAACGAATTTCGCTACGCTCTTCAGAGGCACGGGGTACACACTGATTCCATTCTTTTCAGTACACCATGTTTGCTGTTTAGTGCTATGCAACAAGGCAAAAATCTACTTGATAACACTCACCTCAGAAATAATAAGAATTTACAAACGTATAAACCCGTTGGAAATTTATACTTCTTAGGATGCACTGAAGATGTTCAAAACAACTAAGCGAAACATGAATAAAATATTTCTAAGGCATGATTGAAAAAGTTGATTAATAAAGATGATATGTTGATACTAATCCCTGACTATTGGGAAGTCAAGCTTACGAATAATGATTAAAGTACGACAATAAAATTGTGCACAAATCTCGTGTCATATATTAGGTCATCAGAAGGACTGACTGTATAGTTCTATCTATTGTGGTGACAACATAATCTCAGTGTGCTATCACGATATAAAATGAGACGCAAAATAATAGCTAACAGATAAAAGGGAATATAAGAGTGAATTTTAAGGTCGTCCTTGCAACAACTGAAATAACTAATCAAGTCTCTGTATTTCGGTTTGAAACGCACGTTTTCATAAAATAGAGAAATCTGCTTGATTATTTTAGCTGTTGAGAAGATGGCCTCTAGAGTCACCCTTAATCTGAGCGACTTTAAAGGCCATCCAGGTAACTGCTAAGGTAACCAATCAGGTTTCAGTATTATGACTGTGAAAGGAAGTAATTGGTTATCTAAGCAGTTGATAGGGTGGTATTTAAAGTCAATGAGTTAATCTTATGAGCCGAACTTTATCGTTGCAGATAGCTTTACTAGCAAAAATATACTAGCACAATTGAGCATTCTTTTAAATCATATTAGTATTGGTCGAACGACCAATGATAAACAGCGAATTCTGCACAGGTGTTTCGGATTACACTGTCATACATTGTACCCATAACTTTTTCAGAAATACAGTAAAAAGACGCATATAATTTCCCAGAAATTTAGTAGTCTTTAGCCAATTCAATAGGCTGCGATTATAAATTTACTTGTCACAGCCAAAAAAAAGACTTTCGCCTCAATTTGCTTACTGTCAAATCCCAATCAAAAGCATCCTCAAAATTTATCAGAAAATTTTAATCCACAAGCAGAAATAATGGATAAACGTTGGGTAGTGGGGAAGAAGATAATCTTCACACAAATAATATGAAAAAGTAAACAGTTTGGGAGACTAACCACATGGGTATCCAACAAATGCTGCAGTGCATCTAAAACACCTTTTCGATCGCCGATATTTTCCTAAAAGAGATAAAATAAAAACACAATCATCAAATGATATGTTATTGTGAATATACTGTTCCAGGATTAAACACAGGTGTAATGAAAAAGGGAATTCAATAGGCATGCATAAAAAACCGATAATCTTTACGACATTTACCATTGGGTAACTTATTCGGTTAGACAACACACTATACGGCACATTTCACTAGCATGTCAAAACAAAACAAATTAATGCATACTAAACACATAGAGGCTTGTGTATATGCTTTATGTTACAGTTGTGTTATACCTAAGAGTACGATGCGGCCTACCAAATTTCTATAGGTGGAAAAGAGTTTCAACGCATAGCTGAGAGTCGATCAACTGAACTAGTAGTTCCTAGCACATACTCCTTCATCAGTTAAGGTGAGCAAAATATTAGATAGTATTTAGTTGATTGCATAATCTTACTGACTGTATGATTATACACTTGGTATGAAGACTGTCAATAACTCATTCATCTCATACACAAACTGACTTAGGGTGTTAATAGTGAAGTGCTGACAGTTTGTAAAAGGAGAGCGGTTATAGTAGATAAGGTAATTAAGATGATTAGGTTCATTAAAAATCTTTTACACAGCCATTCAATTTTTCCCATAACTACAAATGCTTGTACGGGCGAATAGTTTGTTCCCTAAATAAACAAACAGTTCAGTTTACTCCCTCATATTCTCACAGATTTTCATTATTTAGAAAATCCACTTAAGGTATCACACCATTTCATTAATTCCCAGGTTATTAATGCATAGGAAATTGTTGAATATAACTTATCTATCAACAGAAGAGGTGAGAACAGATGGTGATGACAAAAATCCACAGTTTAACGTTAATCCCACCGCATATGTCACAAAGGATAAAGACAATTCGTAGCTTAAAGGTAACCGATGATAACCAATACTAAGCTGTAATCGTCAGAGATAGTTCAAACTAATGGTTAGAGTAATGCAATCATTTAGTTACTTGATTCAGAAAGTTGGTATCAGCTACCAAGAAAGTAGATAAAACCTATTAGTAAGGCATATTCAAATTCTCATGGTTTGTTTCGTAGTTAAACCTAAAATATTATTTGTTGCTACTTCTAATTATTCGTTATACTAAACCGAATTCATCAACTTTTGTTGGCATATTGGCTCTTATGTGGATGAGTCCCGAATAGGACGCAATACGAGTCCTGTATCCCATTACTAACTACAACCAAGTCAATTATAACGATAAGTACTCTGGTAATATCAAGGCATCCACATAGCAGCCCATATGCCAACAGCTAAGATCAGACAATTTGATGCAGTATAAAAACGGAGAATTACAAGTGTCAATAAATAATAATAATTAATACCCGTTGTACAATAAGGTGGCTATCCGTTCCCCCAGTGGCCTAGTGCATGACGCTTTGGCGTTTGAAGCGATGGGTAAGAGGTTCGAGTTTCAGTGGGGACGATATTACTCATTGGGGTGCAGTAACAATCAGCTGAAGGGTCCCAAGTAGGATGGAACGCCAATCTTGGATCCCACTCCTAGCCACAATCAAATCAATCATAAACATATAACAGTTCATAAATTCACCAACGATACTTCTGCGGGAATTTAAATACTTCAACATAGAAAAATCAAGCTACCTATTACAAGTGAATTAACAAACCGACATCACAGATGAGGTGGATACAAACAAGTTTTTAGAAAAAAAGTTACTATAACATACCAAGAGATATTTTATGAATATCAATGACCAAATGGCAGAGTTGAACAAGTATTTGATGTAAATCACTGTAAAACTAGGACAATATAAGAATTCGGATTTTGAAAAAATAGGTTAACGAAGATAAATAGTCATAAACTAACCTTAATTTCTGAAATAGAACGACCACTGAACCGACCTGTTTGAATATAATCTTCAAGACGTGAAGATAAACTTTCTTCCGTACTCATATCCAAATCCACATCTAATCCCATTTTATTCTGAACAACACTGGTATTGACACAGTTTCTTCCAGAATCAGGTATTTGGAAAACTATTGAATTACTAGCCGATTGAACCAATGGCTTTAATGAGTTTGCATTTGCCTCAGAAAACTTGAGTAAACTCCAACTTGTATCTAAGCTACCATCAATGTTACTGTCTGTCAAAACAGCTTGGATATAACCACCAGTAAATGATAAATGATGATCGAACCAACGTGAATGTCGCATAAAGTTGTAGTCACCAACAAACAATGGATCATTCAGTACATCATTAGATACACCCATACGGTATAGTAAATCTTTGCGTAATTCGGTCGGTTTCAGTCGCATAGCAGAATTTTGTTTAATTGTTTGCAACGACAGTAGATCAACCGGATCATCTAGGCGGTATGTGGTGAGAAAAAGTAATACATTACAGTCTGCTATAGAAACCTTTGAAAATTCACTGAGAGAAATGCAATTAAATTATTTTGACTGAAATATAAAAAAAGCTGTATTAACTAACAGAAACCAATACAAAACCTCTGAGAAAAATCATAACGACCAAAAACTGTTTCACGAAACATACTAAGCCGAAACCTTTCATTGTCTATTGCTACACAACTCTGTTTATCTGGTGTACAAAAGGTGACATCGGAAAGTAGAGGATTTAAAGAATTAAGAGTATATTCGAAATATGATTCCTGATTACGTTCATTAATCACAGAAGTGACGGTAAAAAAATGAGATAAGGTAGGAGAGAAACAGTCAGCAAGATGAGTCACCAGACTTTGCTAAGAATGTTACAAATGAACTACCATGTTCATAGGAAATTAAACCATTGAATAAATTCAGTCAGCCTGCAATATATACATCGTTCATGTTTGCTTATTTTGAGATTGTCATCGTATCATATACTCAGAAATGCCTTCCGATTCCGAACGATAACTTCTTTAGGCCGTAATTTCTAAATATGGTGGAGAATGATGCACCACTTCAGCAATACGTCTCATGCGCAACAAATAACACTCAATTAACCAATGAGCAGTGGTGATTCCGCCCACTGATTCAGACAGAGATGACTTTCAACCAGTGATGGGTTTGAACTGGTTCGAAAACAGTTCTGCCTACTGAAATTAAGGTAGTCAAAAAGTATAACTAGCCATCACGAAAAAGGTGTGGTTCATCGCCTACTACACGAACGTGACAAGATTCCTGAATGCCTTTGACTTTACACTGCTGAGAATAGGCGTGTTACAATAAACTAACTGTGAAGAGCATAGTTTGAAACCTCCTGAAAAATAGGTTTATCAAGAAAACTCATTTCTTAAACTGTTTGTATGTGTATGCAGTCAAGAGTTTGGATAAACAGTTGTGGAGTTTATCTATACAGCCGTCAAGAAGAATACGTTGACAACAACAAAAGACAGATTGTATTGCCTAGGTAGGGACCTACCGATAACCGAACTGTTAATAAGGCATTTTTTCAATACATGTTACAATGGGACCTAAAAAAGCTCATTTTTACTTTAAAAATAGTCGGAAGTAATCCAAACAAAATATTCAAAGCTTTTTAACCTCTAATTTCACATTAGATTTGTTTATTTGATTTATAACACACTGTAATCTAGTATTATTTACTTGATGATGTTGCGAGCATAAATTATTGCTCATAATCATATCGATGTAATCAAACTACTTTAGACATTTGATTTTTATAGTTATGTCACTTTATATGAGTTGTTTTTATTGGTAGCAAAATTTTCCATATCTCTGGTAATAGAAATGACCCAACACCTATATCAGAGATATGGAAAATTTTGCTACCAATAAAAACAACTCATATAAAGTGACATAACTATAAAAATCAAATGTCGAAAGTAGTGTGATTACATTGATATGATTATGAGTAATAATAACTTATGCTCGAAACGTCGTCAAGTAAATAATACTAGATCATAGTGTGTTATAAATCAAATAAACAAATATAATATGGAATTAAATTCTACCACAGTGCCCAAGTTTTACACCTATATTTTTAACTTCTAGTTAGACCAGAAAATAGCTGAAAATGAGCTTTACATGAATTAAGTTGGTAAAACTACCGAATTCTTTATAGTTGTCAAACATTCGTCGCCGTAGGAATGAACTTAAACTGTCGAATGAGCAGTGTTCATGCATACATCAACCATCACTGCATCAATAAATCCATCAATCTAGGGGGGTGGACAAATGAATATCAACAAAAGGATACAACAATAAATCAATAAAATGTGATTCCGGTCAGAATTACGCTGCACCATAGACTGTTTTAGAAAATAATAATCTTACTTATGTGATCAATAATCAGTAAAATAATTTAATTATTTTGAACTTCATAGAGTTGAGTGCAGCAATAGCCCCCCGGCAACAACCATATGACAAACAGAATGCACTCAACAACCTAGTGCACACTTGTGTAGCAGACAAAGAACGGTACCTATTTTGCCATGGCTATTAATGATACTATCTGGCTGCCCAAGCCTTAGTAGGTGGGGTGGGTTTCGAACCAGTGACCCATTGATTGAAAGTTAACTCCCGAAACCAATGAAACACAACTCGAATGTGTGTGATAAAGGTGAGAAGGGAGGGAATATCCTAAAATTATGTTGCTAACTTTTGTTAAACAATAAGCGAGGTACCAGCATAAAGAAGGAACATCCAAAACCCGTAACCTTCCTCATGAGGTTATATTAGTTGCCAATATGGAAATTGAAACAGGTAGACACGTGAATATATATGCACATACATATGAAAATTTAAAGATGAAAAGATATCATAAGGTTATTTAGAAACAAACATTCTCAATTTTCTAAACCTGTGAGTTGTATACATAAAATAAACATACAATGTTCAACGAACAATTTTGTAAGGGGTATGGAGACAGCATGAAATCGTGTATAAAACCACTCAAATTGAAAATAGTGTTTCCTTTTCATCGTTTTTTACACATTTTTTACATTCTTTCCAATACTTGTAAAACTGAATGTTGCTTATCTGTACACACTTTTGGTTGTGGCGGTAATTATTAACTTTGCTGCTGCCGTTATACATGAAATACAGCGTGCTTCTATCCATTCCGACTTCTTTCTCCGTGACTATTGTCTGTCGTGAATACTCATTGATTGTCTTTGGATTTTACAGGAACTCTCATCCTACTTCCAAATATTACGACAATCAAGCCAACCAACGCCGACTGGAGAGCTAATAAGCATCGCCTTCTGAAGTCTGGAGTATCCTAAATTGTGGTGGACAGTAGCGAAGAGAAAACATTCAAGTAATCACTTATTATACATAATACTGACATTACTATTTTGTGTTATAACGCATAACTTTTCACATTCCTGTATCTGAATCTATTTTTTGTAAATAATACGCCGTTTATCATTTGGTTTACTTGACATTACTTTGAGGGGGTACATAATCGTTGTATTGATACTTGTAATTTCCTGTTGCTATAGAGGACCGAATTGCTCGACCTCTGTTGCAGATGGGCTCCGATGCGGATGCCTCGAAGCTGCCGGATATTGATGATGTATACAATCAATGATTTGGCAAAATAACAAAGGAAAGGTTAGCTTACCAGGACATGTTTGATTACTTCCAACTAAGATTATATCTTCCACTCTGATTGATACTTGAACATTGACAAACTAAAACAATGAAATAAATAATAATTTGATCGAAAATTAGATTATTAAGACTAATTTTTAATTAACAAGTTATACTTTTAATCGGAAAACAAAGCACATCAACCTATTTTGAAAAGGAAGAATCATTGAAACAGTTATCAAATAAGAAAGAAATACGACGATTTCAAGAGTGTTTTGGTTTTGAAGATTATTGTTACGTTTATTTTCTGGGTCAGGAAATAAACCTTCCCGTAGGCCAGTAATGGATGGGTCAAATATCTAGCAAACGGATTGGGTACGTTTATCAATCATAATGGCCTAGTGTTTCAATAATCTATACAAATTGTATTCCATCATAGATGTAATCCAACACGAAATTCAGTGCAATGGGAGAAAATGAAGTTAACATAAACATAAATGGCGGTACAGGTACATCCAGCTGACGAGTCCCAAAAGGGACGAAGTGTGCGTCCTGGGTCCCTCTGCTAATCACCAACATGCATATAAATGGATCAAATTGCTCTATACAGCATGAACTACTTATGGTTCATTAATTATATAAGTCTTCACAAGAAGTTGAAATTATAAAACTTCTTGTCGATTGTCTCCAACCGACTAACGTCTTATAAAAAAAGCACCACAATGAACTTCCTCGTTTGGTGGCTACACTGCAAAGTGATCGATGGGATTCGGTCGGCACTAAGGACTAATTAGTATGAAAGTAGTTGCTCTCCAGCGACCGATTAATGAACTTTATCTCTCTTTTGCCAGCGTAACTCGTTGTAGCTTTACTAAACTTCTTTATACATTAAGTCCACACAGAATTAGTTATTTTTCTCTACAGATTTTAACAAATGAATTAGTTGGTCATTTGTGTTGAGCCGTGTGTTCACCTCGTAAGAAACACTTGGTTAAACCAGGATCATATTAGCTTCTTCGAGATACTTAAACATTCCTTAATTTCAAATGTTAGACAAAACACTTCTTGGGATACGTATGGATTATTGACTGAACTGATCAACAGTTAAGCTCGTAATTAGCTGGTTCAGAGTTCATTCTTACTATTTTCATGTCACAACCGAGTGTTACAGGACACTTGATCTGAATTTTCGCAAAAACTTAACAAACTCTTCACTGTTGTGTAGAGTTGTGATAATCTCCCAGCAGTATCACATCAACTCTAAACAGTTAAATGTACGTTTTCCATGAATTGATTTCTTAATATCCCACTGTCAGTTTCAGTCTCGGGACTGAACAATTTCTCTATTCGATGTTTTCAATATCACAATTTCTGTAATAGTGACTATGTTATAAAAATAAATGATTCCTATGTTAAATTTTCGTTATGATTTTATCTAGTCTTCACACATTTTGAATATGTTGGAGAAGGTACTAGGCGAGACAGGAAAGTTGGTTGATAAGGTTGTGACCCATCATCGACTGAAATGGCTTGGACATGTACTGCGCATGCCAATTCACCGCCTAGCCCGACGTGCCATGTTACGAGAAGCTGGATTAGATTGGAAGAGGGTTCAGGATGGCCGGACCATGACGTGGCACCAGTCCATGAAGTCCCTAACTGTTGGTCTGAATCGTGTGGGGATATGTAGACTGCCTGATTGAGGTCTACAAGGCGAAAAGAATCGGTAATTGAGAAATGGCTCTTGGTCACATGGCTGAAAACCGGTGACAATGGTTCAGATATATTCACTCTCGGATATCTTCTAAAGCTTGAATATTTGCATTGAATGCTATTTTCAAATTGCTTATTCTCTCACACAACTTTGTCTTTTTTGAAACCAGTCTTTTTCTTATCCGCCTATTTTTTCTATACAACTGCGAAGTGTGGCAACTTAAACCTATGTACTTTTTTGCAAGATTCTATGTTGGTTTGTCTATCTATTTGCTGGAGAGGGATTCTGTTTGGTTAACTGCACGAAAAGGGTACTTTTTCAAGCTTTTGTAGCGTCTACTTTCCGATGTAATAATCTCTAGGTTTCGTTTCCTTCGCAACTTTTATACTGAATATTTGAGATAAGATTATGCCATAATGCATAAATCTTTGAAGCCTAGAAAAAGGTAACTGTAACTTTAGACTCAGGATAGCTTATATCCCTTTTTAAATGTTCTGCTAGTATTGCCTGAACGAAAATTTGCCTCAAGAATGTATACTGGACATTGAATAATCTCTCATGTTATGGGGTTAACTAATCTATGCATAAACACATAATTAATTAACAATATTCAGCGTTAATATGTACTTTAATTGTATACAAGTGCAAACAAACCTCCGACAGCGATAAATGCTGATAAGGTGTTACAGTTTATTCATTTTAATGTTCAATTCAATGTTTTGTTCATATCCACTTGTAAATTGGTTGTAATCATTGTTTTGAAAATAAATCTACCAAAGTTTAAAGTGTAGTTTGATAAAAAGAACTTATATAAAATAGGATGGGTTGTATTTATGGAACAGCGAATATCTACCACACATAAACATCCTCCATCGACTAGGGGTCACATCATAGAAGATAACCAATGCAAGTCAGACAAACTATTGATAATTTGATGTCGTGTATTCGTTCAACCATATAACTTTGATATAGTCAGCAGCCGACAATAGACAAGAAATGTTATCATCAACTAAAGTCGATAAAGTTAGGAAGCCCATCAACCAAATCATTCATACCCCGTTAGTTACATCTCTACATTTGATCATATTTATCGACAAATGGGTCAACCATAAAAGAGATACGTCTTAAGAGCTGTTGAACCAAAATCCTAAAGCTTTTTCACATAGTTGAAATGTACGGGGTATAGTAAAATGCATGGTATTGAAGCACACACAGTAAACTGCATTCTCGAAAGGCGTATTACTGAATAGAACGATTGTGCTTATCGATATCCCTATGTGATGTTCGAGTGACAAATATAAAATTTGAAAAAGAGACAACTAAACATACTCACTGGATAGAATAATAATAATTCCAAGAAAAATGCTACACAACCACCAGTCGATACGTCGCCGAATAAATGTCTGTGTATTAACCTCGTTGATAGTTGATCGGTTTCCACCACCTCTACTTCTTGTCTAGTTGATTGAAAAGATACTGTTGCTGAAGCCTTATCAATCATATTGACGTCATCGTTCCGATATAAACTCAGGTGTTTTATACCACTTAACCAAATTGAATAGGCCTCATGAATATACTTAGTTTGTGTAGTAAATTCTCCATGGGTCCAGCGAGAAAACCTGTTTGGAATGCATAGGAAAATAAGATTAGTGGCATTATTCAATCCCTTAAAAGATTAATAAAAAAGTTGGCAGAAAGCATCTTATGGCGTCCACAGGACACATTTCCTCTTTTACTTAGTATTGACAGAAGGGTTATATGTAAACAATATCAAACCCGTAGTTTACACATGACTATTTATTATTCAGTTATAACCCAGCTTATCCAATATAGTTGAGCGAATAAGGATCTATATTGTCTAAAATTTGTAATGATAAGTATCTTACACTATTCGATTGCTGAATAAAATGTATACCTCCAAATAATAGTAGCACTGGAAACAGAAGTACGAGTTCAAGAAATCGACCAATTTTAACAACTTCTGGGACTGCTTTTCATTCGATACGTACCACTACATACCTACTGATAAGAGAACACAACAACAACAATAGTGGGTCCCTTCAAAAATGACGACGATTAAAAATAGAGCCAACACAATGGTAGCAATCCACCTTAGTGCATAAAAACAAGATTTCACTACGAGAAATATAATGCTAGGAATGTTATTTTGATATATGACCTTCATGTTTCACCAATACAACAAGGTGACAGAACTAGATATTCCAGTGAATGGTGATTTTACTGAGAAACCACTGACAGCAACAGATTTTTTCATAATCGTGGCATTTAGTTACTTATAGAAATGACAATAGTTAAAATTATTTCTCAGAAAATCAGGCTTACTTTCATACCTCTTTTTACAGTGATCATTCGATTAGAAATATGGATAATACAGAAACTAACAAGGCAAAATAAGACTTTGACTTGACGCAAAATCATTTATCATCTTCCTTCCAAATACGACCAAACTGAGTGCAAATGAAGTGAGAAAAATACTTCTTTTAGGCAAAGTGTCTACATATTATTTTGTATACAACTTTTGGTTTAAGGTTGCTTAAATGTACACTCAGTTCAGCTCTCAAGTGTCACGAAACTTTCTTTTCAGTCGCTCAGTTGTAGATTGCGTATTACATTACCTAACACAAAACAGGAAGTGTATACAAGTGATTTCGTCTTCACTAAGAAACGTAAAAACACATAGAAAACGAAATTTAAGTAGGGTTATTTTCTGTTTTTCGTAAGAATTACCGTTAAGTAAACAAAATAAAAGAATTAAGGTTGATTTGATTTAAATTATCTTTGCATGACTGCTAGTTTTAATTGCTGTCATATTGAACTGACAAAAAATAGTAGTTTTGATGCTTAACTCGATTGACCTTCGCCACATATGGCGCTGGAACGATATCCGATTGTCGATTAAGGGTTGAGTGTGCTATGCTACAGTTCACTCTGTTGGGCTACATGGTTATGAAACATGGTCATTAAAGGTAGAGGAAATGAAAAGGCTTCAGATGTTTGACCATCACTGCTTTCATGGCATGGGACATGTGTCGTGGTGTTATTACATCATTAATGCAGAAGTTAGATGTAGAGTTCTAGGGAGAAGAGGAAAATCATTTGATGATATTGTCAAATTTTATCGACTGAGGTGGAAAAGAAAAGTATAAAGCAGGCCTAGTAACCGTCTGCTTCGTCACGCAACCTTAGTTGTAGTACAGTCAGATTGGAAAAAGGTTCAAGGCGATCAGACTAAACATGATATCATTGTATGAAATCTTTGATTGTTGGTCTGAGTCATGTAGCGAAATATAAACTTCCCGGTTGTGGCCTGTGTTAAAAAAGAAATCAGTGATTACATACTCAGTAGATGACATAGATAAGAATCGATCTCTGGCGTAGATGTACCCGCACTTCATCTTAATCGTAATACTGAATTCAATATTTTATTCCTCCATCCTCTCTTTTACTGCTTTCCGCTGCTTTCAACCGACCCTTTTCTCTTTCTTCATCTTTCATCTAAGTGCTTTCTCGGTTGATGAGCTTACACGAGATGTAACAACTTCGGCTGTTATGCAGCAATGCCTGATCCTATATTGATGTTGATGACTCTTACTATTTAAGTTATTGCAAGTCGAATAACTCAATGACTTTTCGAATTCCTTGTATACCATTTACATCCAAACTTATTGCAGTAAATTGTTCTTCTCCCTTCTGCAAGCATCTGACCGACTGACTGGCAAAATCAACGTAAAACCTCACACAGAAGTTAATCCATTCAAGTTGTCACACTTCACAGTAGTACACAAAGAACAGGTGGATAGAAACATCTGACATTTAAATAAACACTTTTAATATAAATACACAGGTAACACAACAACTAGCTTTACATATAACCCTACACAATATCACTGTTTAGAATTTCACAGTTAGATAGAACCCAAGAAAAATGCATAACTAATTCCACCTACATCCATTCACACTTCTTAAACGGTTAGTGACTGTGGCCTAAGATTTGAATTTCAAGTGACTTCATTCAAAAATGATGAAAAATCTGATCACCGATCACAATAATCAAAGTGAACCTAGAAAGCGGAATTCGATATTTTAAATCACTCAGTAATATAAAAAATATTTTGAGATTTTCAAAGTGACTATGAGGAAAAGAATTTTTGGTAAAACGACTTTTAAGAACATACATACCTGTGACTTAACGCAATACGCACGGAATTCACGCTACGAAAACCAGGATCGGACTGAAATGCATAGACAAGAAAACAGGGAACGTATATAGAACGAAATAACTAGTCACTATGACACTTGACATGATGTAACGCGTAAAAAAACTTCCAAATGCATATATCACACGGAGATATTACACAATTGTCGACGAAAAAACTATTGAAGGAAAAATAACTGGAGCCAGTAAATAGAGCAAAAACTTATCAGAAATATTTGAACTATCGTTGAGTGATGCGCTGAACAAAGTGAAATTCATAGTTCACTGAATCCTACTTACCTCAGTTGATTAAACCTAACTAAACTTCAAATTAGTTTGCATCACGAATAGATATCAATTGGAGTAGCACTGAAAACTTGAAGCAGTACATAGCTACTTCTTTTCTAGTTGGGGACTCCTTAACAATAGGCATGCACAACCTCGTGAAGAATCGATCGCAGGATCATGGCAACAGAGTGAGTCAACACTTCATACTGCATTGTAAGCTACTTATTGAAACAAATCAGTAGCATATGGCGTGTCCCTACAAAAAGTGGTTTGAAGTTGACATTTAACCAGTAGAAACTCTAAAGAAGGAAACAACGGACATAGGAACCAAATACAGACGACGAACAAAACTACAAAATTTCGTTTTTAGCATAGAGTGCAGACATTATTTGCATGAAATTGGTAATATAGGGTTTTAATAACTTACCAATTCCACAGATTCTATTCAGTCTATTTTTCTTAAGTACTGCATATATACGAAATCGACATGTTAAGAGAAACCATAATTGATACCCTTAAGTTTTTCTCAGGAAATCCTTCGGACCTTTTTGATATGCAACTGTCAAAAAATTTAACGCTGTCTAGTTTCGTCGGCATATTCAACATGTAGGTTACTTTAGGATGCTTTAATTATTCCCACCAAACACTTCCTCGTTAACAACACAGGTGGATACTATATATCATACCAGGAAAGCCCACTGTCCCCGTTCCTAGTTAACTTCCTTACAGACATACTAAGTGACATATCCTTATGTAAGTCTGACTTCATTGGGACTGGCCTACTCCCTAGAGGCAATCTGGTTGATTTGGAGTATGCAGACGACATTGTCCCGCTAGGTGAAGACCTTGAGAAAATGCAGAGTCTTCTGAAAGTGTTGAGCACGTGTTACGCTGGCACCTGACAGATGTAAGATGGTGTTCCAGGACTGGTCTGCTGCAACCGCTCCCAGCTAAATGATAGGGGTGAATTGGTGGAACCACTTTACTTACTTAGGAAGTTGTATCAGCACGAACGGGCTGGTTGATGAAGAGATCTCAGATCGGATACAGAAGGCCCGTTTGGCATTTCCCAATTTGTGTCACCTGTGGCGCAAAGAACGAGTATACTGCGTTGCAATCCGTTCTGTCCTATTGTATGGCTGTGAGACATGGCCGTTAAAAGTAGGTCACAAGAAGCAGGGTTCTGATCGCAGGTGGCTTCTTAGCACTGCTCGCATTCGGTGAAATCACCGTGTGAGCAATGCACAGGTCAGGCGAAGGATTCTAGGCAAGAAATGCAAGTTGATTGACAAGGTTGTGAACCATCATCGACTGAAATGGATTGGACGTGTACTGTGCATGCCGAGTCACCACCTATCTCAACGTGCCATGCTACGAGAAGCTGGATTAGATCAGAACAGGGATCATGGTGACTAAACCAAGATATGGCACCAGTCGGTGAAGTCTCTTTCTGTTGGTCTAAGCCGTTTAGAGAGATGTGGACTACCTAGTTGAGGTCCCCAAGACGATATCAATCAGTGGTTGAGGATTGACTCTTGGTGACATGGTGGAAATCGGTGACAATAGCACAGATGTATTCACTTCTTAATATCTTCTACGGCTCGAATATTCACACCAACCTTTATCGTCAGATTGTTTATCCTTCCGTACAACTTTATCTGATTTTATATCACTGTTTTTCTATCCCCCTGTTCCTTATGCACTTCTGTGAAATGTGACAACTTGGACCGACTAACTTCTGTGCGAGGTCATATGCTGAGTTTGTCAATCATTCAGTCATATATTGTACGATAAAATATTTTGTTTCGATAAACATCAGGAATACTGTATATATACGTGTATATTGAAACCTTAGAATCGTAACAATGATTGCGCTGACCGCATACTACAAAACGTTAACCTGATATCCAAACGGGGACAAACACTTGGTTCTGAAAACTTTAAGTGAATCTTTACCCTTATTCTAAAGTTAGCTGCGGTAAAACAATGAATGAGCGAACGCTAGTCAAAGAATAAGGGAGTGATTACTGATTTCCATCAGCGTACAGCAATTCATTTCATGCTAATGTACTTCACACTTGGGATGAACTTACAAAGGAAATGCAAAAATTCTATGAATAATACGTGTGCATATTCGGCTCTGCACTTCAAAGCAATAAATATGAACCCTAATCAAAGTACAAAGGTCTTAGGAATTAGTAAGTATCATTAACCATCACATAACACGCATGGCCGATGGCATGTTATGCTACAGTTGTCAACCCAGTTTACTCAGAATTATGAATTCGGCAACTACGATAAGTGGCCAACCAACGTTATTTATACTACCCGTCTATCCATCAGCTATTCTTATTTATGATAGCCATTTAGGCTTTCCAGGGAAAAGACTGTTCATTCCTGATTGTAAACCTACGCAAGCGACTCTTAAGTCCAGTATAACAACATCTGCAATAACCGATTAGACTTCTTTATTTTGTGGAAATCCGTCATTCCAACCAAAGTAAAGAAACTTAACTGGACATTTCAATCTGTGCCAAGGTAGCCTTTAGAGTCAGTCGTGTGATGTGTAGGTTGCTTGATGAGATGCGTTTGGCTTTAGGATAAATCCGAACACAGTAACTAACAATACAACATTGATCTAGACATCGGGCTACTTGACACTCACCAAAATGGTATATCGATAATCTGTAAGGAAATGAAAATACATCTTCGATTTGAAATTAGGCCGTTCGACGCCCCCACATTAGGGATCAAATCCTTTATCTTGCCATCAGAGAAAATATTTTTTATGAATGAATGAATAGAAAGGAAGACTTTCAAAGGTGAACGTAATTCAGATTTGGAACATCTGGGTTATTGCTAACAGTAATCATATAAAATCTATAAAAGATTATTTTGCGAAATCACTGAACAAAAGTCTGGTAAGTACATACCTTCTTCTCATACGATTTAGGTCGTTTGATTATATGATTCTTCATGAGTAATGCGATAGCATGGTTAACTTGTGCTTTTGGATAGTGTTTAATAACCCAAAGAAACAAAGATTCATTGAATGCCGATGATTCCGTTTGGTCAGAGGAGAAACGAAACGCTGCCTAAGAACATAGAGGTTTAAAAAAAGTAACAAAATGTATTAACAAATTATTGAATTTCTTTAGGATTATTATTATTAAGCATGAAAGTATCAAAAGTATTTCATCATACATTCACGTTTACTTTGCCGTACCATCGTCATCCGAATGTATCAGAATGCTTATCTAGCCTAAAAGCCTTATCCATAAGTCGAGTTGAGAAATAACTTCCCCAGATAAAACATGGCATTATGCAATACAAATGTGCAGATACTGATGTGGAATTGTTTGGAAGTGGTTTTAATTTTTGGCAAAGGAACAAATGATCTAAAAATTGGAAAAAGTTCGTATGTGTGTGTGTTCTCTGCTACAATTCAATTTCGCTTTCACTAAATGAGTGTTTTGAGTTGTATATCCATCTGTAGGCGAGTTAAATGGGCTTAAAGTGTTTGTCTACAACATTTAAAAAAATAAAGCTGTGGCCACTGTAATGCAAAATTTCAAGGACGGAGAGGGGGTAAAGTATAACAATAAGACCTTCGATATAGTGACGAAAACGATAAAATTCGGAAAGTGGTTTGAGAAATCCTTAGATTTATTCCCATATAAAGCTAAAATCCAGTGACCTGAGCAATTGATTTGTAACTCAGATCATGATCGTACTTTTAAAACCGATTCTAACTAAATCTATCTCAGCGACATAGTGGCAGCATCATTCATGGTAAAAAAATAAGTGCAGCAGCAGCCTAGCATATGAAATTGTTAGTTTGATGAAGGCAATTGACAGGAAGTCCTGGACCTAGGTTCCGAACCTGAGTCATTCAGTGCTGAAATCAGAGACGTTACCACTGAGGTACTCGGTCTGCGATTGATCTCCTGTAGGAATGGATCAGGTACATTGATTGGTCACTGGAAGGTAACCAACTTCATGTTGTCTAGTCCTGTGTAGTGATCGCATTCTATCGATCTATCAAAGTGAATCGCTATGCTGAGTCTCTTAGTAAATTGGCTACATTGCAAAATGATCAACAGAATTCGATCAGCACATAGGGGTTAGACAGCATGACGTCGATTACCCACCAGAGACCAATCAGTGTATATGAAATTGTATTTTGTTAACAGGTTTCAATAATTTTCCTTCGTTTATCCGATGTTTCCCTCACTGAACACAACAAGTTAACACGTAAGATACTATTTTAACACAAGTGAAGGTAGACGATCGTTTTGTTCAGAAAGCTTTCAATGGTAGCGACCGAGTTATTTCACCTTTCTCTCACATTGATGAAGTATAAGCAAACTCAATTATATAAGTATAAATCGGCACCTCATCAAATCCAGTTGAAACAAAACGGATGACAATAACAAAGTCATTCACATACAGCAACAGTGTATATCAACATGAAAACAACTTTCCCACGTTCTTCTCAACAGAACAATTACATGAATGAATGGAATATCCATAAAATCAAAGAGACGAAACGTGATTCACACTATAATGACACAGAAGTCAACACAGCAACCACGTGCACGTTCCAGGAGAAGGCAATGAGCCAAATCCATTATGTGTTTACTATTAGTATTATTTATCCCTCGGGTTCCTAATGGAACATAGGGCTTCAGTAGCACGTCTCCAGTGCACTCTGTTTTCTGAAATTTTTTGAACCTGGTTACATGACAGCCCACAAGCTCTCAGCTCTTCCTCGCACGATCTCCTCCATGTCACCCTCACCTCGGACACCCAACTCGTCGTTTCTCATCTGGGTTCCACTTGAGCAACTGGCCTGGCGCGTGATGTCCCCAGTCGGCTTTCTCAGTGTATGCCCAATCCATCTCCACTTCCTTCCACTGCATATTTGTTGAGTGATAGGTTCTTGGTTGGTTCGTTCCCAGATCTCCTTGTTGCTTATTCTTTCTGGCCATCTGATCTTCAGTAACGAGCCAGCGTAGGTAGTTGTTCATGAATGTCTGTAATTTGTTGGAAATCCCTTTCGTAACGCACCAAGTCTCTGAACCATACAGAAGCACTGACTTGACTGAAATAGTGTTGAAAATCCGGATCTTGTTCACGCTTTGTGCTGAGTGCAGAAGATCTCCACACTGGTTTCGGGCTAATGAACGCCTGTCTTGCTTTTCCGATCCTGGCTGGCTTTGACGTTCTCGTCTGTGCCGCCACCTGTAATTGAAACAGTGCTGCCTAGATAGGTGGAGGCTACTTCCTTTAAATTTATCCCCTTGATGGTGATTGAAGCTTGTTGTTGGTTGGGTATCTTCATCACCTCTGTCTTCTCTATATTCACTTGAAGTCCCATCTTCGCTGCTTCTTCTGTCAACTTGTTAGTTTTCGCCTGTAGATCTTCGAGTTTGTGCGACATTAGACACAGGTAATCGACGAAATCCAAATATTCTATGTTCTTTTCCGCGGTCCAGCGTATCCCCCTCTTCTCGCTCCTCACTGTTTGTCGCATGATCCAGTCGACCACAATCAGGAAGATCATGGGTGATAGTAGACAGCCTTGTTTCACTCCTGTCTTCACTTCAAAAGCATCACTGAGCTTCCCATTGTGAATTACTTGGCTGGCATGTGGCATCTTCATATAGTTGTTGAATGAGATTGATAAAGGTTTGTGGTATTCCATAGTGTTGAAGCAGTTTCCAAATTACTTCTCTGTCGACGCTGTCAAAGGCCTTATCAAAGTCGATGAAGTTGAGGTAGAGAGTTGACTGCTATTCTGTACTCTGTTCTTTGATGATGTGAAGCGTTGCAATTTGGTCGGCACATGATTTGTTCTTCCTGATTCCAGCCAGCCAGCCAGCCTGTTCCAGTCGTAGTTTTGAATCCGGTGCATCCTTTAGTCTCTCCAGGAAGATGCGGCATAATATTTTGCTTGAGGTGGACAGGAGCGTGATTCCGCATCAGTTCTTGCAAACACTGAGGTCGCCCTTCTTCGGGAGTTTGACAAGGTAACCCTTCTTACAATCGCCAGGTACCTTCTCTTCCTTCCACACCTTCTGCAATAGTGGTGTGAGCATGTCTGCTGTTGTCCCTGAGTATGCTCTCAGTGCTTCTGGCGGGATCCCATCTGATCCTGCTGCTTCTCCGCATCTCAGTAGTTTTATGGCGTTCAGGACTCCGACTTTTGTTGGAGGGCCTGTGTTCACTGGTAGTTCTCTGGATAAGCTGCTGGTGGTATTTCTGGACGAAGTGCAGGTGGTGGTCGATTCAAGAGCTTTTCAGAGTGGTCGGTCCATTGTTTCCTTTGTTTCTCTTCTTTCGTAATTAAATTTCCGTCATCATCTTTTATTGGTTTCATCTGTGTTGATCTCTTCCCTCCCAGATAGTAACCTGGTTATTTGATACAATGTTGTCAGGTCTCTCCTACCTGCAGCCAGTTCTGCTTCACTTGCAAGTGTGTTGTTGAAGTGTCTTCTGTCTTTCCGCGCACTCTTCCTCACTTCTTTGTCCAGTGTTTTATATATTGCACTCTGTTCGTCTTGTCATTGTTCATCCTTGCACTGGTTTATCTTCTGCTTCACCATCCTCCTCTTGTGTATCAGCTTCCATGTGTCTGTCGAGATGCATTCCTTATCTTCTTTCTTCCTACTTCCTAGTACGGTTGTGCAGGTTTATTTCCATATAGCCTTCAAAGAGTTCCAGTGCTCATCCACACAGGTTTCTTCAGGGATGTTGCTCGATATCTCCCATTTTGTTCTGATGGCTGACGTGAAGATGTCCTTTATTGTAGTTTCGTCCTTCAGTTTCTGTTCTGGGTGTTGAACTTGAACTGTGATCTCTCACCAACTTCTTTGAAGGCTTTCAACTTGATTTTGAAGATAGGTTCCTTGCACTAGAAAGTGAGTGGTGTGAACCTACATCTGCTCGCCTTCTTGACCTTGTGTCAAGTAGGCTGCGTCTCCACTTTCTACAGATTGAGATAAAGTCTATTTGATTTTTAGTGCAGTGTGTCCATCTGATGAAATCCATGTCGCCTTGTGAATATCCTTGTGTTTGTACACACTGCCTCCAATCACCAAATCGTTGAATGCACAGAATTCTGAAAACAATTCTCCATTCTCGTTCATTTCACTTAGCGCCTCTCGACCCATGGTTAGTTCTCTTCCTGTGTTGTCCCCTCCCAGTTTGACATTCATGTCATCCATTAGAATTTTGTTGTCGCCAACCGAAGTCTTTTCCAGTGCTGATTGCAGTTGTCTGTAGAATTCCTGCTTCTTCTCTTGATCTGCATTATTTGTAGGTGCGTAGCATTATATGATTATGACCTTCCTTCCTTCCTTTTGAGTTAAACCTTGCTGTCATGATCATGGAGGAGATTGGTTTCTACTGCATGATATCCTTTCAATGCTCTTGGGGACATCATGATAGCCACTCCCTCCAAAACTGTGTGCTTGTGCTTGTCGTCTGGGTGACAATATCAGAGTAGATTTTTGACTCTCCAGTTGAAAGTTTGGAGAGTCCACTCCCATTCCATCTGCTTTCGAAGATTCCTAACACTTCAATGCGATACCTTCTCATCTCGTTTGCAATCTGGGCTGCCTTGCTGGGTTCAAACATGGTGCGGACATTCCATGTCCCCACGTTTACTTTCGCTTTCATCGAGAGAAGACATATCGGCGAATTGGCTTCCCGAAGGCTTTCACCAACCGGCGTCATTTCGCCTCTTCGACTCCAGCGAGGAATAATTTTGTTTTCATTTTTTATATTTTGTTTGTGCTTTGAAGTTTCTTTAGCGGTTAGATTGATTTTACGGGGTAGGGTTGGTAGCCCTATGCCCAACTTTCCCTCTTTACTAGGGCTTAGGACCGACTAGTAATTAGTGAACTAGTTAACCAGGCGAGGTTCCATTATGTGAAGGCTAATGATAATATCTGGTTGCTGAGACTTCAGCAGGCAGAGTGGGGTTCGAACCCACAACCTATTGGACAGCTCCGCTGTCACAATACCATGACATCAAGAGTGATGATTAATATCGTCAGTAATTATACTATAGCTGTTACCCATAGGAGATATTTCTTCGGAATTTTTTCATGACTGCTTAGGCACTGAAATACTGTGAGTAGTGTGAGTTGCATTTACTTGTGCTTAGAACTTAGTTCCATCACAAATTAACACACATAGATCAAATGAATAAGTATTCCTGATATCTGTTTCATCTATATTAACACTGATTCTAATATACTACTTACCAAAATGAAGTTATACATTGTGTACAGTACAATCATAAGACGATCATTTCCGACTTCTGGTAGTCCATTTTGATCAGAAGGATCATACAAGGGTATTAGATCATAAGTAGACTCCATTTCCGCCCGACTAGATCCAATCGATAAAGGTTTGTCTGATCCTTGATTGAACGGTTTTTCAGATTTTTTTGCTACATGGTTCCCACCTAAATGATAATAGTAAGGCTTCACGTTTCACAAGTGCAATATGATAAACAGAACAAGAATGCACTCTATACATGAAATTATCAAAATAGCATGTGAATATAGCAAAGTGGAAGAGGTTTCGACAAATATTAAGTAACTTAAGTAGGTGTAATAACAGTGGTAACTCACGCTTTCCCGTCGTAAGACTATTAAGTCTCATCAAAACTTGAGGCATGAATGTGTTCACAATACTGTGAACTAACTCCAAGAAGATTAATCTAGCCTGCTCTGTTTCATCCTTACACATAATACGCCACTTATCTCGTCCATAATTATACTAAAATAGAGAAAAGAAATAGAAAAATCAAGCATTTAGAGGTTGATCAGTCATATGGATAAATATAATCAGCAACATTTACCATTTTCCATGGAATGTAGGTACCTAGACAAAGACTGCCGGTGAAAGTAAAGCTAGGAAAAAGTGAACTCTTCACTTTTAATGGACTTTATTTCATATATATGTTATTTAGTCTACTTATGAGTAGGCTAAAACAAACAGGTAAATATATGCGACATTGACAGGTGCCGTGACAGCATAAAAAAGCTTTACAGTAAGATCTTACACATAATAAGGATATGATCCTGTAGGACTACTCACCTTTAACTGCCAATCAGGACGACTAGAAACACGAGAGAAAAGTAACTTTCCAGAAACCCACTCAGGTCCTTTACTTAGCAAAAGTGCCTTAAGTCGTCTCGCACAAGCCACAGGAGTTTTCAAATAGTGCAACTAAAAACGAAAATAAAGTAAGATTCAATATACTGGTTAGGTGTGAGAACAAGGAAACCTCTGAGGGTGGCAAACTCATTGGCGCGGGTAAGTCTCGAACCCTCTAACGATCCAACTGTAGGCGAAGTGCACAGCCAATTTGCAAAGTGGGAAGCAGGTTGATTTACACATCATAAGCAGAATAGTTATCCTGAAAGAAAAATATTCACCTACGATAAACGGTCATGTATTTTCCACACTAACTTAACACAAAATAATGGGATACTCGTGCTAAAAAACAGAAATACCATAATATAAGGGTAGAATTTGCGCACTAGGATAGAGCATATTCCGGTAGTGTTTTTCTTTAACTGCATCCAAACGATGAAACAGTAACATGTACTCGTGATGTTTCGAGCACAATTTATTGTTTAAAATCACATTCAGGAAACCGCACAACTTTTTGTATAATTCGACTGTCTTTCGTTCTTCAGGTTGATTGGTGGTAAAATTCTCCAAATACCTCGCACAGTTGTTGCATCGTTTCTGTTGCATGTGTCAGGTGTTAATTTGACAAAGAAAACTTTAGTTGGTTAGCTCTTTCTCCACATATTCAAGTTATTTTTCAAAATCCCCACTCTATCCCACCCCATTGCATGATTGTGCCTGAAAAGATGCATAGCTATTGCTGAGATCTGGTCAAGATTTCTTATCTCGTTAGAGCCTACCGTTCTATATTTAACTTAGTTCCTATGTTTTGCTAATTAAGTTGACTGAGCGAATGAAACAGTAGTACAATTTAGTTTGAAGACTAAGATGAAGATCATGTGTGGATGTATCGGCGCCACTGGGGTCGCTTCCGAGCCATATATTCCAGAGTTTCCAGTCACCCACTTTGGCTGTCACCTGGACCGCTACTGGGAAGTATACATTTACTTCATGTCTCAGACCAACAGTCTGAGAATCCATGGAATGGTCGATGCTATATTTCGATGTGGTCCTCTTTAACCTTTACCTAGTGCAAAACTTACTTCAAGCAACATTGCACGACAGGTCAGATGTAACATCTTTTCCAAACACTTGATTCAATGGTCAGTAAACAACTGGTGTACTCCCCAAGTAGCATTGACTACTTGCTGATTGATATACAGTGTAAACTAGTGTGATCTCAATCACAACGTTTACATACAAGTAATTAATTTCACTGAAGAGGATCATTACTGACCACTAGTTTGGTCGATTGAAGTTTATTCAGTTGCGTTTTGAGAGTGAGTCACGACTATCGAATCTGTCCGTTAAGTAACCACTCAGTTTATTTTATGGTAAACTAGATATCTTTTTATTGCTTTCTCATAAACTTAGCGTTCATGCAACAAAATAATAGGTCACTTGTACCATAACTAAAAATAAAAGGGTATATCCTTCACATGATGCATAAAATAACAAACATTCACTTCGATTGTAATACTACTGCCCTGTAGTTAATCGTCTACACTTAAATTGCGATGAAGTTATCGCTATATTCAGTAAAAATACAGCAATATGATGATCTAAATCAAGTAATTAGATCAGTAGGTAAAATGCATTTCGAGATATTTGATACTCTGTCATTATTTCGCCAAAAATAATGGACATAACATAAATAGGTATATACACATTTATGCGACTTTTTACCAGATTTTCTGACCAATTTACAGATATGAGAAGGCATCGAAGAGGATCTCAGAGTATAATAATTCCTCCATGCATTAAAATGAAAAAAATGACGACAAATTATTGCAATATCTGATTGAATTCGAAAAAGAGAATCTGCTTTACAGAATTATGTAAACGACCTATACTTGATAAAAATGTATTACCTGGAAAAAGCAGTACTAGGAGAAATAATGTCACGACATGAGGCCCTTCGAAGAGTTAAAAATTGTAGATAGCCAGTCAAACACAAAGTTGAATAGAAATGAAACAGTAACATGATAAAAGCAATACAACACTGTGCTTCAAGACAGATTAATGGTAGGGTTTACTCAGAACCATGCGACAAAATCGATCAAATTTGTGCTAAATGAATATTATGGATTTATATGGCTTCAAAAACTATTGTATCTGTTTACCTGAGGAATATAACGGTGTAGTACATCTCGAACAAATGTATACGGTGCAGTAATATATTCTCTACGCGTTTCACCAGCTATCAGCACAGAGGCGATTCTACAAGTAATCAGCTGTAAATACAAAATATGGCATATAAGCAAAAGCAACAGATAGAAAAGATTTTGTTTTATATCGGCAAAATAGAAATATAACGTAGAAGACAGATGAATTTTCTTATCTATGTTTCTAATCATTAAGCGTATATCTAAATGACTCGGAGTTTACCAAGTTTAAAAGCTTATTAGGTGGCAAGAAAAAACCATATTCATTCTCAGAAGATGGCTCTATGGAAGGGGGTAACTAAATGAAGACTTCTTTTTGATTAAATTATCATATAAACATACAGACAGACGGATAAAATCAATATAGCGCCTTTCACAGAAATGGATTGACTTAAGTTACCACATTTCACAGCACAGTGAAAACAAGTTGGTAAAGAAAGAGTGGTATAAAAGTAGACGAAATCGTAGGAGAAAGGAAAGAACTAACAAAAAATGAAGGTTAATGAAAATGTTCAAACTTTAGAAGATATCAGCGACTAAACACATCCACGCAATCGACACCTATTTTCAACTATATCATCAAGGATCGTCAACCATTAGTTCCTAACATCTCGAAGACCCCGAACTAGGCAGTCTACACCTCATCACACGAACAGGAACTGATGCCATGTCTTGGTTTAACCACTTTGAGGCTTCTTACAACTTGATCCAACTACTCGTAGCATGGCACATCAAGGTAGGTGGTGGCTCGGCATGTGCAACACCTCCAGGGAAAAAAACATTAAATAAGATGACACAACCAAAAAAGAATTGAAGCTACCTGATAAGCATACGAAACAAATAAATAAAGCATGGAAATCTAATGCAAGCAACTCACCAAACGGTCTTCCAATTTAGACCAGGAACAACGAGGTGCACGAAGATATAAATCATCTAATAACGGGAAAACAACAGAAAAATGTGAACATACAAAAGAAACGATAATAATAGTTAGCAATTATGGTGGTTTACTGCATTCACATATAAACATCATGAGTAGGAAAGTGGAACGTTGAGTATTTAGTTTTTGAAGGTGCTCAGAATAGTAACGCAATACTAGTCTACAAACAGGAAATAAGTATAATAAAACACAGTACTTTCTCACCAGATGGGTCAATAAATAGTCTTTATTCAAGACTATATTGTATGATCTTGATTGGAAACCTGATGAACACACGATGACATTACAACTATAAGTTAAAAGATGGCATATGTGCAGGCATTATAAAGGAGAAGTCTCGTAGTTATTAGTAAACTATACACTTTGTTACGTGGTAGGTTGCTTCAGTTATTTACTGGCATCTCCAGTGAAGAGCTCAATAGTTTCATAACCAAACTGACAACCGACGACAGTCAAAAGCCAAAAACCTCCTCACTAATGTACAAAGATATGGAAAATAGGTTCCTCTTAGGAGATTTCTGCCGTTCCCAAGAAATATTCAATGTAACTACAGTTGTGAGACATTGATGCAGAAACCTTGACAATGTCTAACAGGAAGAACAAAAACAGAATAAAGGAATTTTGGGTCAGAGTTGGGATCTATCCGAAACTACTTCTTGGCTGGCTTTTCCCGAACACACTGTAGCTAACTACGTCGTAGTGATCATAGGAAAATCGTGCATACATAGTATACAAGAAGTTTTTTTTAATTCCTCGAGTAATGCGTAAGATCTTCATAAAACTGTGTCCACTATGACTTAAAACTCAATTCTTTATATCAAGTTTCATTGGACTTTTTTATTCTGATATAATTTAATGTGCAGACAAAAATAAAAAATATTTTTGCCACCTAATGCGGCCTCATACTACAGATGATAAATTTTGGATCGATCACAATAGAAATTACGTAACACATTATTTTGTCATTCTGTCTAGAATTTACGAGACCTATCAGACTGAAGATTATGGTTTAGGGAATGGTCTACCAAACACACCTTGTAGATATGTGATAACAGATTCATTGCCATAAAGTCATAGCAAAGACTGTGTAACACCATAAAGTCAATCAGTTTGTTAACGTATATTTTTCTTCAGAATAATTTTGGGTCAAATTAATTTTGAGTTTTTCTTTCAAGCAAATGAAATTTACTGTCAGAAAATCTTTCAAGAAGCAGAAAGGAAATTGTTCTGTAGTAACCGACAGTATTCCTACCATTGTGAACATTCAATCAAAAGTTGAACGATGGCCAAGCTTGGTGGAAGGAGGTACATTTTTAATGCTATAATGTCTAAAATGATCTGACACACAGACGTACACAGAAACTTATGAAACCACATGAATATTTATATACTCATTGTGACAAAGACAGGTGAGTAAGAAGAGGATGGAAAGCCTTTAAAGTATGTGATAAAAAATTACGCAACCAAACTTACATGGACCTGACTGAGCATAGCCTTGCTTTCCTAAAAAGAAAAAGATTTTTTCATATAAGACCGGAAAAATATTACATCTAAGTAGTGAAACGTTTTTCCTAAATGGGTAAAAATTCTTCAGATAACGGTCCTTGTAGGCTAGTATAATCTAGATGACCTCTCCGAACTACATGAACAATGACCTATTACATGCAGGTTTGAGACAGAACTTGTACATTATTGTATATGCAATCACAACAGATATGTTCAGTCTTCGTGGGAGAAACGTTGCTGTTGTGTTACAACACGAAAACTCCAGACCATTGAGCATATGACACATATCAAACCGCATATTTCTTCCTCATCAACTAGAATAATTTCACAGAAGACAACTTAAGACTAAAATTTGGGAAACTGATCTTAGGATAGGCAACTGAAGAGACAGTGTTACGAGACGAGATATACAGCCTAGCTGTCAATTATAGTTTCGTATCTTAATCTATTATTCTTATTTATGGTATGAAGGTTATTATCATTACTTGAATTGAGGTCAGAACCAGTGGTAAGTTTGTTGGAAGTAAAGTGCTCAAACTAGTAAGACTAAACATCTTAGTTTCACTAACAAGCATTGAGTTGTTTCCTAAAGTTGCAACGAGACTGAGATTTAATTGACTTCAGATTTCCCAACAAACTCATCACAGGAGCTTTGTACCTCAAGATGATGATGATAAATGCTTAATGTTTTCCGAGCTCTGAGGTTTGTTATTGGGTGTCTAACCACCGGGCTAGACGACTTCATCAACATTTACTTCCATATGAAAAACAAACGTCGAAGTTCGTAGAACACCAGAACAATTATCAAGCTCATACAGCCGATTAGAAACAAACAAACTGTAGGGTTTTCGATCGAATTTATTGTGATGAAATTCACTTAACGACCATATTTCATATTTATTCTGATAATAAGGGTAGAAATTGCTGTGGCTCATGAGGTTAAGTACTCAAATTTCAACCGTTGAGTTGCTAGTTTGAAATTTGTTCTACCTACCAAAGCTTGCCCAATCTGTAAGCATTATTAACCCTTATATGGCGGGTGTAGTTTATCATTTGGTAAGAAGATTCATTTGGAAATGGTCAGATGCGGAAAGAAAGTAGTTAATATAAAAACTAGAGGTGATTGATAAGGCGCATCAGATGAGAGAGCATCAATGCACTTATTTTACAGGCTATAGCCACAGTTCTAACCGAAAATATAATGATCAAATTCATGAAAGAATTATCATTAAATGCTGAATAGTGTATAGACAAAGTTTAATAGTTGAACTAAATTATTATCAACATACTTCCATGCTGTTTTAAGATTCCGCGTATTCGACGAACAACAACTAGGGGAAGAAACAGAAAATACAGTGAAATGAAATAAAACTAACTTCAGGGTTTTAAAATCTAGGCTTTCTTTGATAAATAAATGTTAAAATGACGGAAAATTCGGAGTTCTTTGGGTATAAAATATCCGCTGGCAGTAATAACCACTCATTCCAACATCAGACTAACAGCGAGGTCAACAAACAACAAGGCGGTTATACGCCACCATTCGACGAAGAGACAGTATATGCTACACTATTGCAGAAGGTCTGGAATGAAGGAAAGGTACCTGGCGATTGTAAGAAGGGTTACCTTGTCAAACTCCCGAAGAAGGGCGACCTCAGTGTTTGCAAGAACTGATGCGGAATCACGCTCCTGTCCACCTCAAGCAAAATATTATGCTGCATCTTCCTGGAGAGACTAAAGGATGCACCGGATTCAAAACTACGACTGGAACAGGCTGGCTGGCTGGCTGGAATCAGGAAGAACAAATCATGTGCCGACCAAATTGCAACGCTTCACATCATCAAAGAACAGAGTACAGAATAGCAGTCAACTCTCTACCTCAACTTCATCGACTTTGATAAGGCCTTTGACAGCGTCGACAGAGAAGTAATTTGGAAACTGCTTCAACACTATGGAATACCACAAACCTTTATCAATCTCATTCAACAACTATATGAAGATGCCACATGCCAGCCAAGTAATTCACAATGGGAAGCTCAGTGATGCTTTTGAAGTGAAGACAGGAGTGAAACAAGGCTGTCTACTATCACCCATGATCTTCCTGATTGTGGTCGACTGGATCATGCGACAAACAGTGAGGAGCGAGAAGAGGGGGATACGCTGGACCGCGGAAAAGAACATAGAATATTTGGATTTCGTCGATTACCTGTGTCTAATGTCGCACAAACTCGAAGATCTACAGGCGAAAACTAACAAGTTGACAGAAGAAGCAGCGAAGATGGGACTTCAAGTGAATATAGAGAAGACAGAGGTGATGAAGATACCCAACCAACAACAAGCTTCAATCACCATCAAGGGGATAAATTTAAAGGAAGTAGCCTCCACCTATCTAGGCAGCACTGTTTCAATTACAGGTGGCGGCACAGACGAGAACGTCAAAGCCAGCCAGGATCGGAAAAGCAAGACAGGCGTTCATTAGCCCGAAACCAGTGTGGAGATCTTCTGCACTCAGCACAAAGCGTGAACAAGATCCGGATTTTCAACACTATTTCAGTCAAGTCAGTGCTTCTGTATGGTTCAGAGACTTGGTGCGTTACGAAAGGGATTTCCAACAAATTACAGACATTCATGAACAACTACCTACGCTGGCTCGTTACTGAAGATCAGATGGCCAGAAAGAATAAGCAACAAGGAGATCTGGGAACGAACCAACCAAGAACCTATCACTCAACAAATATGCAGTGGAAGGAAGTGGAGATGGATTGGGCATACACTGAGAAAGCCGACTGGGGACATCACGCGCCAGGCCAGTTGCTCAAGTGGAACCCAGATGAGAAACGACGAGTTGGGTGTCCGAGGTGAGGGTGACATGGAGGAGATCGTGCGAGGAAGAGCTGAGAGCTTGTGGGCTGTCATGTAACCAGGTTCAAAAAATTTCAGAAAACAGAGTGCACTGGAGACGTGCTACTGAAGCCCTATGTTCCATTAGGAACCCAAGGGATAAATAATAATCATAAATAATAAACTATGAATTACCACTGACGATGAAAATTCGAATCGATCGGTCACCAACAACGTGGAACCTGCTGTTATTGTGTAACGCTCTTCATTTTGTCTTATATCTCATATCACCAGATCAAAGTAGCAGACACACAGAAGAAAATGGGAAAATTCAAAAAAAGTGGTCAAAATGAAAGTCAAGAAAAAGGGAATCAGGAGTGAAACATTTTACTGGGACTCGGCATGACGATTACGATAATTTGTGAATTCGTCAAATTTAAGGAATCCGAATCTTTTCGACGGTCGTATTTGTAGTGACAACAGACAAACAAATGAGTTTATTATCGGCTAATAGATCAACATTAGGTCATCAGAATGGAATGTTCTGGAGTGAAAAAGTGAGTCTATTCTAGGAAAAGAAAAGGATTCCATAATCATAACGTGCATGAGGAAACCCCGACCGATAGCTGCTACCTTGACGTGGTGGTCGGGCTTGCATATCACAATGACCCAACGAGCTATGCTGGTGGAACGCTTGTTCCCTCGAGGTCCTACCATACCAGAAAGGTCTGTTGGGTAGTGGTTAGACGAAAAGCAGTTACCGTCATAGTGTAAATTGCTACACTATGATGGGGGTCTGAGGGCGAAGTCGTACTGCTGCTAGCTGGATGGGGTGTGACAGCAGTAAGGTGTTTCCCTTGGATGACCAGCAGTGCCAAGCTGATGCTGCCTTCTCAGTGGAAGGGGGGTTAGAAAAGGTCGGCCCCAAAAATAACACACTCCACCACGCCCCACGGTCTGCCGGGCCGGCGGTGTTGGTTCACTTGTCGTTTCCTTTCGACTATCCGGCCCCAAAAATACAAAAATTCAAAATAATCATACTCAAAAGGCTGGGTGTGACAGGCCTCAAGCAGATGTCCGATGGGCTCTGCGGTCACACAAATCTCTTTCAGGTACCTTAAGAAGAAATAGCCTTCCACGGTGTGGGCAGCCGGGAAGTGTCAACCGCCCTCACAACTCTGTCAGCACCCAAGTTTCTTCTGACTGCTATCCTCCTCCTCCATCATTACCTTCTAATCTTCCTTCACGTCTCTTAATTAATGATGCTGCATCATCTTCAATTTCTCCTACCTCTGCAGCCTTCGACAACGATCTGAGTCCACAGAACAGTGTCCCTGGTCTCCTTAAACCACGCTCCAAATTACATATTGGAGCCTTCAATGTCCGCACCCTCCGTCAAATTGGCCAACAGGCTTCGTTGGCAAAGACTCTAGCAACTCGGGCATGGATGTGTGCTGTGTTTGTGAGACACGCATACAGGACCCAAGTGTGGTTATTCACCTGACCTCTCCTGACCAATCTGGTGAATCTGCAAAATTCACCCTTCGAGTTTCTGGAGATTCGATAGCTAGCTCTCGTGGTCTTGCAGGTGTAGGTATAGCATTAAGCACCAGGGCAGAAAACTCACTACTAGACTGGATCCCAGTTGATAGTCGCCTCTGCGCTATGAGGCTGAACGGCACAGTGAGAACTAAAAGGAATAGTGAGACTCGCCGTTGTCTCTTTGTAATCTCTGCTTACGCACCCACTGACTGTAGTTCGGATGAAGTGAAGGACGAGTTCTACCATAAACTGTCTAACCTCCTCTCGAAAGCCAAACGTTCGGACGTAGTGGTTGTTGCAGGTGACCTCAACGCACAGGTGGGTAGACTGAGTGAGGCAGAAAGGCACTTAGGTGGCACTTTCGGAATCCCAGCTGAACGTACAGATAACGGTGATCGCCTATTACAACTATGCTCAGATAACCGCCTATTTTTAGCCAGCACAAATTTCAGACATAAAGAAAGGCACTGTCTGACCTGGCGTCCACCGAGCTCGACTCAGCGATGGACACAGATAGACCACATTGCTATTAGTCATCGCTGGAGAGGATCGGTGGAAGACTGCCGCTCCTTCTGGAGTACGTGTTTGGACAGCGATCATGCGTTGGTCCGAGCACGTATATGCCTGCGTCTCAATGGACGTAGAAAAAATTTGGCAACAAAACCACTACGAGTTCTGCTGGACAACGAAAACACCAAAGCCGTGTTCAGTGAGAAGTTGGCTAGGCAGTTATCGGAACAAAAGACTGTCACTCATCCAGAAGAAGCTTGGTGCCATCTTCAGTCTACTGTAAAAGCAGCACTGGAGACTGTAGCCGACTCCAAGATAATGGCTAAAAAGAGCCAGTGGATATCAGCAGCTTCTTCCAAACTAATGGATGCACGTGAATGCATCCCTGCAGGCTCTGAGTACAATGAAGAGCGAGCGCAACTTAAAAATAAACTGACGAAAAGTCTGCGCAACGATCGTGAACAGTGGTGGGCAGCAAAGGCTAAAGAGATGGAAAAGGCAGCGGCGATCGGTAACAGTAGACAGTTATTTAGACTTATTAAGGAGACTGGGGGGAAATGGTCAACAACAGTTAGTGAGGTTATAGCGGAGAAGGACGGATCGGCGATTCACTCGCAGGGAAGGCGACTGGGACGATGGGCAGAACACTTTGAGGAACAGTTTAACTGGCCTCCAGCCACCATTGCGCTGCCCGCTATCCAGTCGGACCCTGAATGGGACATAGAGACAGGTCCCCCAACACTAGAAGAAGTTGAGAAAGCGGTAGGTAGCCTGAAACGGGGAAGGGCAGCAGGACCAGACGGACTACCTGCTGAGGTATACAAGAATGGTGGTAGAGTTCTCTTAGTCAGGCTAACGGAAGTGTTAGCCAGTATATGGGAATCAAATACGATCCCCTCCGACTGGTCTAAGTCACTGATCATCCCAGTCTTCAAGAAAGGCGAGAAGTCCTCTTGTGATAACCACAGAGGAATCAGCCTGACAAACATAGTGTCTAAGATCCTAAGTTCTATAATTCTCCGACGCCTGAGTGGAGCTCGGGAACAGCAAGCCCGAGAAAACCAGGCAGGCTTTAGACCTGGCCGTGGATGTATCGACCAAATATTCACACTGCGCCAGGTCCTGGAACATAGGCATGCTTACAGACGCCCGACAATAGCTGTATTTCTCGACCTGAAGGCGGCATTTGACTCCGTTGATCGAGAAGTCTTATGGCAGTGTCTGTCACTGAAAGGCGTGCCTAGTAAGTACATCACCTTATTGAAAGCTCTCTACTCGAACACTTGTGGGCATGTTAGAGCCTATGGTGAGTTGTCCAGGGAGCTATACTCATCAAGTGGTGTCCGTCAAGGATGCCCACTATCCCCATTCTTATTTAATTTTATCATAGATATTCTTATGGAGGTTTCCCTCTCGTCACCTAATTACAAAGACGTTGACC